AAATATTAAATGGTTTTATATATTAATATATATATATATAATATTTATTAATTTCAAATAATATAAATTCAATTAAATTATTATATATATATATTATATATATATATACATTGTTTAAGTATTTTTTTTCCAAATATATATATATATATATGTATTAATAATAAAATAATTGATTTTACAAATATATATATATATTCTAAAGAATAACTAAAATTTATAGGAATTCTCAAAACCTAGGGATAATTAAAAGATAATAGGGGAAAATGGGAGCCAGTAGCGTCAAGCGAGATGCGAAAGAATGCGGGGGAGGTGGAACGATTGAGGTAGCAGTAAATATGGGCGGTGGGATTGGAAGGAGAGGGCGGGATTTAATTCCCTGTTCATGGTTCCAAGATGTGCTGGGAGGCCGCGGTGGTGGGTAGGGGATCGTGAAAAAAATCACGCGTTTGGCATGTGGTCCGCCTCATCCCTTATTGAAGCAAGAAGAAACTCCAGCTAGCTACCGCGAGTATAATCATGTTTTCAAAAAATCACATAACATATTATTAGTTGTCAGGTGATGGTATTTTCCGATGCAAAAGGGGTTGTTAGTTTAAAGTGGTGTCGATTCGATTTGGAGCGAAAAATGGATCTTTGACCCAATTTCCTCACCCAATTTCGATATTGTCACCAGAGCACTTCTTTAGCAAAGTTGTGTAGCTTGTTTAGCGCTAGCAGCCTGCGTCCCTTTTGACTCTCAGTTTGTGCCCCAAATCATGTTGTTCTAGAAGGTAAAATGGAACCTGTTCTGAATCTTAGGAATATGTCCACGAGTTCGGTGCTCTGGGATAACAATCAATAGCAGTTTTTTAAGCAATTGTCGATCTGTACATGGTATCGGCTTCAGAATAAGGCTCCCAGTAAACCAAAACCACCTTCCAGCACTTCCCCGGCCTAAGGTTGCAACGTAGCATGAGATTTCTTCGTCTCTGCTATTTCTTAAGGTCGGCACAAGGGCACCAACAACCAAGCCACCTGGCGTTCGGTGTTCAGTATCGGGTTTGCAGTGAAACACATGATGAAACTCAGCAGCTTGAGATCCCCACCTGCCAGCATTCCCAGAGGTCCCAACATGTCCGCCAGGGGGCCACTCATAGCTCTCGGCCTGGACCAACAAATGTTTGCCGGAAAAAAAAAAGTGTCTCCTTTGGTGGAGGATGGAGGAGCTCAAGGTCAGAGATTCCAGCTGCGTCCAAATGTCCCAAAATCAATGCGGTTATAGGTACTTCTATTCTGAAGGGGTCCACGACACCCTGCCTGGGTGGGAATTTCTGCCTGAAGATGCGCCCAAGTTGAGGATTCATGTTCCTCGGTGCAAAAATTCTCACAGCCGAACTTTGGCCCCTGTAGTTTCCTCCTAATCCTGGCGAGTGGATGCGAGTGGCGGATGGATGTCATCAAAGGAGAAGGGCCGGTCGAGCGAAAACCTGGGCACGAGTCAGGCACAGCTCAAAGGCCAAAAGTTTCGAGTTGTTCTCTGGCATTTCTGGAAACACTTCAAACATCCTTATCATCCTTCAACCCAATATGTATCCAAGAAACTGCTGAGTAGAGCTGAGCACGGGCCGCTGGCTAAAACCTCTTCCGCGACATGGAAAATAATGCTTATGGGCAGAAAGAGAAATGAGATGCACTGTGGTGAAAAGGATATGAAGTGCCACCTCATGTCAAGGTGACTTTTGGTGGTTGCCCTTCCATGAGCTCTTTTTGTCATGTCCTACAGAGGCAACTTTAGTTTGCAGCCAATCTCCGAGGCCTCCTCTACTCAAATGCTGATGGAGCATCTGCAAGAGCTGAGGATAGATCCTCGTGCCATCAACAGTCGCAAATAAAGTTCAGATAATAATATCATTCTTTGAAAGCTCCTTGCCTCGCTGCTCAAATCTCTTGCAAGTGCCCATTGGACTTTCCAATTTCAATACGTACTTTCTCCGAGTCTGAAGTGGAGAAAATCGCATGGATCCGGTATAAGGCAGCTGCGGACTTGGATTTCTCCGCAGGACATCGCAGAATGCAGTCCTCGAGCAAACAAAGGCGTGTCACTACCATTGGGCGCACTCATCCATCCATACAAGACTATTGAACACCACTATCGGGAATGGCAAGGAATGAGCAAGGGGTGTGAAGGTGACGGAAGCTAAACGGTAAAACAGTTTCTCATGCTGCATCAAGCGGCGTCATAGCTCCCCCAGGGGCCGAATACATGGAGGCAGCATCTGAAGACGTGTCATCGTCTTCACATCCACCTCAGAGGTCTTCAGAGGGGGTCCACTGGCGCTGAACATTCGAAGGCTTGTCAGCAACGAGTTATCAAACATCCTGAAGATTGCACATCACATCTTGCCATGACATGTAAGTCATGCCAAGCAACTTCCTCATGTTGAAATATTACATAAGCCCAATCTGTTTCCAATTTGTTTGTACCTAGCATGGGCAGGGCCACCCTTTTCGGTTCCCGACTTAAGTAGCATATAATTAATGCAGTCCAAGAGACTGAACATGAGAACATCTCCCATGCAATGGAACCTGACGACAAAGGCTCTCTTCATACCTTAAGAGATACCACAATTCCTCACACTACACTTCCTGGCAAGGGGCGGGTTCACGGCCTCTCGCCACATGCCCCTTCGAGGGTCCCAAGTAAAGGGAAGATCCAGACCACTTCCGCTGTGACCTCGCTCTCCGGGCGCATGGTCTGAATAGACAAATGATTTAAGATATGTGTCAAATCGTTGGTTTTCTCTATCACTCTCTTTCCTGCTGAACAAAAAATATATATTTCTCATTATTCGTACAGACTCGAACAGGAAGCGTGCGAAAGGTAACGTGAGATCTCAGGCTATCACAGCAGTCCATGATTCCAGTAAGCCTGCCCAGGTCAATGAATCAAGTTACATGTGGATGCCCTCACTTGCAGCGAATGATATTTACCGCAAGAAGATGCATGACTTCATGCCACCTCACTCCTTCAGGCAGGCTCTTTACCATGAGGTCGCTGATCTCATCATCTGTCCTTTTCTGACTACTGCACTTTGCAAAAGGAGATTCCCGAATATTCCGGACTCGTTCTGGAAACCATTTCACAAATATGTATATTTCACAAATATGTATGATGTATCATCCAATTCATCCAAGACTCATCATGCCGGCCTAGGCTCAGTGGTTTGACCACGCCACAAGTGACACAAGTGTTTCCGCAGCCCTAATGGTCCGCTTGCACAAAGCGCGGCCACTGATTTTTGGCGAGCAACGCGTTCAAAGTCCACAGGGAGAATGGTCTCGTTCATGCCGTCCTCCTCGTATCCATGAGGATCTTCTTGCTGCGCCTTGGTGAAGCTACATCCATTGTATATCCCGTGACTGGGATCATTCGTATTCTAACATGTTGTCTGGGTATTCCAACACCATGGCCAGAGAAGCTGAAGAATAGCACGTCTCCTTTACGCTTTACAAAGTAACATGCAAGCAAGCTGTCTAACTCATATTCAGTTTGCATGCCAAACTCCAGCAAGCAGAACCCTTGGAATTTCTGACGTGTATCATCAAGAAATTGGGACCTATTTCACACGCTTTGAGCTGCAGTGAACAGTCATGAATCATGAGCGGTCAGAAAAAGTACAGCAACACTCCTGCTTGAGCTCCGTCAGACAACCACTGCATGTGCTGGGTAATGTTCTGACGCCTCAGAGTGTCACATTCTTGATGCGCCCCGAGGATAGAAAGGCTGCGGCAAGCACCAATGAAGATAGCAAATCATTTACGACCAGAATGAGGATCAGGATCAGCAAACGAGGAGGGGATGCTGTTGATCCCACCGTAGGACCGGCTAGGAGTATGGAATGCTGAGGGTGGAGCGTCGGCATCCCTCCATTTCCTCGACCATCGTCGGTGAGCGTTCTGACGGCGTGGGACTAGGTGCGCGCTTTGGGCACTGGTTTGCACGTGATTCTGATTTGTCCAACCACAAACACTTGGAAAGTTGCCTAGGCACGTGCATTTGATACTTTCCTTTGACCTGCTGTATGAGTGAGTACTAGAATTACATAGAATTACCCAGGCAATTGTGTTTCAATCCCTCAGATACTGTCAGATCGAAATCCAACAACGCATTGCTTCTTGAGGCCCACACTGGCCAGCCATAGGTTTCGGTTAGCAGTCTGTAGAGGTTGTGCACATCATTGATGCAACCTCGCCTCGGCTCTCCGGCAGCATGGCTGCAGCCGTAAATGTTAGCAACGCAGTATTGCATGCTGTACAGCGTTTACATTTACTGGAAAATTGAGGATATAGTGGGTATAGGACAATCTTAACCAACTGGAATGGTAATAAAGTGGGGGTATCCAATCTACAGAACAAAAAATGCGATTCCCTACTGCAAATGCAAAAATATCTCAGCCCAGCAGCAACTCAGCACGAGTTCCAAAATAGTTGACCCCAATCAGCAGTGCCTTTCTGCGGCCTGTCTTGTTAGCAACAGGCAGTTTGCCACCCAGACCAAACTGACTTCTTTCTTCTAAGAAAAATAAAACAGTCTGCAGCAGTTCCTCCCTTACGGTGCAAAAAACTCTGCTAAATATATCTAAATATACCAGCAATGGCAGCTATGGCCAACATCCACCCCAAACATACACTGCACCTGAAGGTCGTGGGGCAGATCCTGTTGCTGAGCCAGTTCAAAATTGGTGGTGTTGTAGACATGTGGGGTGTCTAAAGATTGGATATACCGGCAATATCTTGTAGGTTTCATGGGCGAAAATAATCAACCATCACATTGGGGGGCACACCATTGACAAACCCATGTATTGAAATCGAAACACACGGAACTTATGTAGAGGGTCTGGCACCCTGCCATCTCCTCCCATGTGTGGAGCTGCCGAAGGCTTGGGATCCATCCCAGATGTGAAGGGCATCTGGGCCTGGCACTGGGATGCACTGGGCCAAACCACTCCCGCAAGGTGAAACCAGCCAGGCAGCCAGTTTTGCCGCAGTTTTTCGAGAACTTGTGTCTCCGCCACGGTGTCAGGATGACAAACGAGATCGAACGAGTTGGCACTTTAAAACCATAGAAAGCCAATTGCACAGATTCAAAAGCCTGTCATTTCGAATCGGAAGTCGCATTCGGCGTCCGCGGCGCTTTCGCCTGGAATGCTTAGCGAGCCTTCCAGGCATAGCTTTTGTTCCAAACGAAGTTGAACTTGGCCAAAATCTCATCAGCAGCTGCAGGGCCACGGCTTCCGAACGGATACTTCAAAACTTCCTGGCTGCTGCTCAAAAGAGCTGACATCTGGTGTGTTTGATGTTCGAACACGGTGAGAAGAGACTGCAACTGCGTGCATCTATTGAAAAGAAAGAAAACAAGTCCATAATCATCGTCAATATCAAAAAGCCAAGCTTCCTTTTTGCCATTTTCAATTTTGTCCAGCAGCGGTGAAAATATCTCCCAGGCCCTGATCAACTCATCATCCCGGACGAAGCTTTCCTGCTCCCCTCTCACGCCCGACAAAATGAGCCGAGTGTAGGCCAAGGGGCGGTAGATTTCTTCGTAGCGATGGTTGTAAGACAAATCAAGTTCCGTGGTGGTTACACCTTGAGACAAGCCTGGCTGCTTCATGTTGAATTTGAAATAGATTGCTTCATGTGGAGAAACCTTCATCACCAATTCATTCCGAGGACATTCCTCTTTGAAGAGCCTGGGGTCGGTGTGACTCTCTTTGAACTGGATCCTCACTTCGCACTTGCTCTCCTGCAAAGTCCGGACAGCGAGAACCAAGACCTAGAACTGGATAGAATCGATCCTTTCCAACAAGTGGTAAGTACATGGAGCTGCATTTAGGCATGGTCAAAAGCACTCTTCATCTGACTTGCGTTTGCAGGAAATAGACCCTACCCTACGAGCCCTGTACCACTTGTGGGATCTTTGCCAATCTCAATGTCTCCTCCAAGCCCTTTCCAGCTCTGATGATAAATGGCACTCCCCACCAGCGGTCATTGTTGATGCGCAGCACTAGCTGTGCAAATGTGGCACAGTATTTGGCCTTCTCCCGATCTTTCTCTGCAATGGAATCATCCTCCGTGGGTCGAAGTCTTTCAAGACCAATCTCATCTTTGAGTAATAGAATTCAAGGGCTATCTATACTATATATATATGTATATTATATATATACAATATATATATATACAATATATATATATACAATATATATATACAATATATATATATACAATATATATATATACAATATATATATATACAATATATATATACACACAGTATTATATACATGTATGTGTGTACTTCAATACGTCCGATGGTTGGGCAAAGTTTTGCAAGTACCAATGGCTGTTATATTGATAGCCAATGATACTAAAGCGTGCAAAGAATGTGAATACATGTGAACCTCACACTTCAAGACTTGATGATGACCGGATGACCCGATTACCAAATTGCCAAACACAAAGATTCTTTAGTGTGGTTCCACACTTTTGTCGTCATCACCTATTTCACAGAGAACCCAAAAGAAAGCAAAATGGCTTCAGCTTTCGCTGGCCACGCCTCCAAATAGCCAGGTTTGCCATTCGCTGCTGTGAACTGTCCCAGAATCACCTGCAAATGGGAGCGAAAAGTACGACCTTCGTGCACAAGTTCATCTTCTTTCTCTCACTCTGATGTACAAAGTACGTCAAAGTACCAATACGTGATACATGGAGAGAAGCATGTTTACTCTGCATTTCTAAGATATAGCCTCTGAAAGGCCTAGCATGCAATGATTTAAAAGGGTGTGTATGTGCGTATACACAAATAAAGATAGATCTGATCTAAATGTGAAATCTGCAATGATGCTTGACTGACAACAAATACACATCATGATGAGAAAACTGTTCTACCTTCAAGTATGCTCATAGCTGGATTAATGTTCAATGAAAAGATGCAAGTGAGCTCCTGGCAGTGCAGATTGTATTTGTACACAAACAGATGCAAATAGTACTTTTGCGTAGACTACTAAACAAATACAAAGGCCAAAAACACAGTCGCGCAAGACGTACAATGGACTTTTGCAAACACATTCAAACGCGCAACGTCTTAGTACAATGCCATATATCTGCATCGCATATGCCTACACGTTTAACTACCCATGTTGAGCTCTTGTCCCAAAGACTCATACCACAACCGATTGGAAAAGGTGCCTCCTCTGGATCTGCATCCAACATCGCTTTTAAAACTGCAACTTTGGCATCTCGGATATCTCCTCCGACGTTGCAGGGTTTCTCCATCGCAACCAGGGTCACCATCTGCAGCAAGTGGTTTTGAATGACATCTCGGATGATGCCATAGTGTGTGAAATAGCCACCTCGTCCTTCGGTTCCAAAGTCCTCTTTCAGGGTGACACGTACAGCTGCAACATGATTTCTGTTCATCAATGGTTCCAGAAAGGCATTGCCAAAGCGCACTGAAAGAATATTTTGGCAAATCTCGTAGCCCAAGAAATGATCCATCCGAAGAAGATTCTCTTCCTTGTACAAGGCGCCGAGGTCTGTCGCCAGTTTTTTCGCAGAAGTCAGATCCTTGGATTTGGATTCGGGAGGTCCCACTTCGAAAACATCAACTTAGTGGATTTCCCATTTCTGGTGAATAAACCCATAGCAAACTAGGAAAAAATGGGAAAAATCAGCAAATCCAGGGATCATGGCCAAATGGTTTCTCAATGATCAAGCGGTTGAAGCCTGTAGTGGAAAGGCAAGTGCTCTTGATGGAAGAGGCAGCCGCTAAGAATGCGAATGGTGGAATGGCAAAGTAGAAAACACGATTTGCTTCGGTTGGGACTTCTTTCCCAATGCCATCCAAGAACCTCACCAAGCAGATCCATCGTGCTACAGATCAGAAAACGCTCTGAAGCTGTTCATGAGGTTTTGGATACCTTTGGATACCTTATATTATGTGTGAAATATAATATATATATATATATGTAGTTATGGAGAGTAATTAAATGACATCTAAACTACGCAACAAGCAAATCACATCCTCTTTTTCCATCACATGACAACCAGGCAGCATTTGGGTCTCTTCAGTCTCCAAAGCCACGGCCAGACGGGCAAAGTCTTCTTTACTGTCATAGTTTGCCGAGAAGTAGCTGACTTTCTTCATGAATGATGGCATGGCTTCTTTGCATCGCTTCATCTGACCAGCAAAGGACTTCACCAACCAGCTCTGAAGCCACTCACGAAAGCTATTGGTGTCTTGCTTGGTGCGGCCCACGCCAACAATTGCCACATGGGAAGGCAAATATTCATGAGCCAACAAGTCCAAGAGAGCAGGAAAGGTTTCTTTCTTCGCAAGATCGCCAGTGGCTCCAAGAACCACAATGGACAGAGTCCCAAGACGAAATGGCTCTTTGTCGAAACCCATCTCAGCTGCGGTGGGAGCTCTCAGTTCTTCTTGCTCCAAGACCAATTTATTTTCAGCGGACGAATCATCAAGAGTCATACAGCGACGCAGTTCCATCGTCATGGCCCCTAGAAATCCTAGAATAGATCGGGACAAGAAGTACTGGGCTGAACAGTAAGCCGAATAGTGGGTGGTATTTGCCCACACACGTGGTTTCCTTTTTTGCCTGAGCAATATAGAAACGCGGCGACAAGCTACTCTACCTTCAATGCCAGCAAAGGAATAACATGCTAAGATGTAGCGGCTGTCTTTTCCAGAAGTGCATTCAGAAGTGAATTGCTGTGAGGTGCGTCTCAGTCATTTGGATCTAAAGTTATCAAAAAGGCAGACAGAAATAGAACAACTCCATCTGTGACAATCTGTGGCAGAGAAATCAGAGATCTCGCAGAACATCCGCGTCGCTCGGAGCCTGGTTGGTGCAACCGCACTGAGGACACTTGGCTTGCACCGTTGCTCCTGCTGGTGTACCTCCAGGTTCCCCCGGGCAACTGCCTGAGCCTGTACTCACTACAATGTGTGTACAGATGCATATCTATATGTGTGTTTAATATATGTGTGTTTAATTTATGTGTGTTTAATATATGTGTGTGTTTAATATATGTGTTTAATATATATGTTTAATATGTGTTAATTACATCAACGTACAATTTCTGTAGCAAAAGTTATGCAGTGTGTATTGCAGTGTAGAAGTCCAATCGGGTTCGCTGGTGGTTTGGTAGACTCAATTTGTGGATATTCTTGCCGATCCAGACATGAACAAGCAAACCCCAAGCGTGACCTTGATGCCTTGATGGAAAAGATAGCATTGCGATGGAATGATCTCAGCTTCGTTTGATACCAGTAGGATCGTCCAAGTGCGCTTGCTGCAAGACTCATGCAACCATCAACAGCAAGTCATTGGTGTTGCTGGATCAGGAGCAGCTGGCCTGGTGGGACTGCCACGGTGCAAACGTGGCTACATCGGCCACACCTGTGAATTGCGGACATGATGTTGCCTAAAGAGAGGGAATCTACTTCCCTTTTTTGGAGGGTCTAGGAGCTGCTTTATTTGATTCTCCGATAGTTTTTATTGATTGATTGGTGACAAAATTGAAATGACTCTAAATTTGGTTTAAATTAGTCAGAAATCAGTTTAAAGGTAATTTAGACTTATATATTTGAAATTAAGTCTAATTTGACAATAATTCAAAATGACTTAAATTTGACTAAAAAGCAAGATTGAATTGCGTCTGGATTTTAATTTAAAGTCTATTCATTTTCACTTATGAAACAATTTACTGTAGATTTAATCTAGAATTGCCTCAAATGTAATTCAAGAACTAATTTAAATTTAATTTGAATTTGAAATTGATTCAAATTCAACTTAAAATTGATTTAGATTGAAACTCAAATCAATTTGGATGTGATTGAAAATGTCACTTAGATGTAATTTGAAATCAATTCAAATGTTCATTCAAAATTGATTTACTCTTAAATTCAGATTTAATCTAAAATCAATTTAGATGTAATTGAAAGTTGAATCGTAATTGCTTCTAATCTAATTTAAAATTAAGTTGGATTTTGTGATTAATTTATCGAAATTAAAAAAATAAGCCGAACCTAATTATGAATCAATCTACTATAGATTATTCTTTAACTAGATCCAACTAGATGTTCATTGTGTGCAAATTAACATTTAGTTAAATTCAAAAACATAAGTTGAAATCAATTATGAATCAATCTCAATCATCTTAAAAAACTAGCTTTAAATATGTTCATTGAATTTGAATTGAATCAGCCAAAAGCCAAACTGAAAAAAAAAAACACAACCTACAAAAAACTCATCCTAAATGTGTATACAATAATATATTATAATATTGTATTTATATATTATATGTATTATATATTATATATATTATTTTATATATATTATTAAATTATATCATATTATATCATATCATATCATATCATATTATATTATATCATATTATATTATATCATATTATATTATGTTATATTATGTTATATTATATGATATCATATTATATTATACTATATTATATTATATTATACTATATCATATTATATCATATTATATCATATTATACTATATATTATATATATATCATTATATATATCATTACATATCATTATATTTATCATTATATATATAATTATATATATATATTATTATATATATATATATTGTATATATTATATATATCAGTACCGCCGTTCCCACCACAGGAGCAAAATAAGAAGCACCTGATTTGCAGTGTGGAGGAGCTATCTCCAGAAGGACGGACAGAAGGACCGCCAGGTTTGCTGGCTCCGCACATTTCCTCCGCCATTCTGAATTGAAGCTCCGAAGAACCATTCAATTTTGGCCTGGAAAACCTTGTCTGCCTTATGGAAGTGTATTTGACGAAATCAAGCGACTTGCCACTGAAGAGAGTGACGTGTTTGAGAATTATATGTTGGATCTTGACTTTCACGTTGACATAAGAATCAAAAGGCTGCAACTTCATGGAGCTATCGTGACGAAGGTTGTGCCAGGGAACGCATTGGGATGCCGACAAGCTGTTGAGGTACGTGCACTTAGAGCCTAGCATGACTTTTTTTCACCAAGTCTTGGAAAACGGGACGAATCAAAACTAATGGTGCGAGGAATCTTGCAGGGAGGCTAACATTTGATCTGTCATTCAGGCCCCTGCATGCCCACTTGTCCTGCAGTGGCGCATGTCGAATCAATATAATAATAAAGGTTCTGTGGCGCAAGAACTGTATTCGTCACGACACCAATTTCTCATACCGGGCCTTATCCTTGGCTTCACCCCAGGGGTGGGAGTACTCCTGCAGGATATCCAGCATTCATGAGGCGGTTTTTTCAATGTGTAAGACCTGCCTCTGGTTCCCAGACCCAAAGCAATACCAAACCTCTTACATCGAAGCAATAGTTCAGTGAGCAAACTGCCGCAGAGCCATTTCTTGTGGCCTAGAGGATTGAAATGATGAGACTCCTAAATTCTTGGTGAGCTCATCGTGTGGTTGGCTATCCAACAGCTTGAGAAGTTAAACAGTTCCAAAATGTTCAACCATGGACTGGCAAGACGCAGAGTTCTGGAAATTCCAGAAGTGAAGAGGTGTAAAAAGGTGTCTGAACTCCGGAGACACTCCTTGAGGTGGAGTTGCGGTACTGAGGGGGGAATGTCCCAAGATGTCTCAAGCACCAATGGACCACTCAGGGCACAATCAGGGTACAGTCGGGGTATAGCCAGAAATATCAGAAATGACCAAGTCATCACCATTCCAACCCGGCAATGGCTCGCGGAGCCTTGAAGTGCTCCGGATTCTTGCGATAGCAGGTGGGACCATGAGGACCTCCAAACTCAGGTTGAAAGCCCCCCACAGGAAGGTCCCGGGTCAAAGCAGTTGCAAATGAAATCGAAAATTCATGAATTTCATGATCAGTCCTATAATATCCTATAGATCACGAAGCAAAAGACCTTTCAATTGAACAAAAAGCCTCTCAAATTGGCGCAGAAACCTTTGCCATGCTGCACAGTGCCCGAACCCACTGGGCTTCGCACAGACTGGCCTCATTTGGAGAGCAGACTTCAAGCTTCGCATCCATGGACTTTGGAGTTTATGGCAGTATGGTGTTTCCCAGTTCACCCACTGATGTGTCAGCACGAACATTGGGAAGGCTATGGGTCCAACTTTCCGTCACTGCCACCGCCGCCACCTCCACCGCCTGGAAGACCACCAGCTTACGAAAGATCCGAAAAAATCCACAAACTGTGAATGATCAGAGATGATCAGAGTCAGTGAACGAAGGATCTGCTTTGACCCAAACCTTGGCACGTTTCGAGATCTTTCTGGGCCCCTGAAATCCCATGAGATCCCCTGAGGCCCACCTGTTGGACGGATCCGTCCCTCATGTGCAGCTTGCTCCGTCTTCTCAGCAGATGCCGAGAACTTGCTAAAGCCTCGCCTCAGTCCAGCTTGGTTGGGACAAGTCCAGGAGTCCCAGGGGAGTCCCAGGGCACCAGACTCCATGAGATAATCAATGACTTGACCTGCTGGCCCATCTGCATAACGCCCAGCACGTCCAGCCTTCGCTCAGGCAAAACTGAAGCTTGCTGTAAGTCGAAATACAGATATCAATATCAAGAGAAACCATCTTTCTGTCAAACGACACTCGCTGAGACCTTTGAAAGACATCTATCAAAGAAGCATGATGCCCAAATGAGTCACCAAGAAAGACACCAATAGCCTTCGTCAATTTTATGGACAGCGAATAGGCAAATTTTCATGATGTTTGTGCTGCCCGCTTAATGTTGTTTCTTAATTACATCCTTTCTTGTTTAGCGTGTGAAAACCGTCCACAACAAAGTTCCATTCCTGGGGGCCTTCTCGACTGTCACCGCAGCGACGATGGCTTCCCTGTGCATTCTGGCACTAAGGCAGCTGAGTGGTTGCATCAAATCATCATTGGGCCAACTTGAATGTGCAGTTTCATGTCATCCCACTTTAAAAAAAGTGTCCACTCATACAAGCCTTTTTCCAGCCTCGCTGCTCAAATCAAACGAAGAACCATGGAGAACCATAACCAGAAGGGGATTTAAGGCATCGAAATTGAAAAACAGTGAACCCTCCAAGCGGATCAGCAGTCCTCCATATCCCTGTGAGCAAAGCATCAGTTCCGACCGCTGGCTTCTCCTTGTCGCACAAATCCCGCCAGGTTTGGCCTGGGCATCTGATCCCTAGGCTCTGACCCCGGATCTAGCACTGTATTTCAGAATTGTAGATACGCATTATATGTCATATGCATTATTGGCAATATAACATGTACATGTATATATATATGTATGTATGTATGTATGTATGTATGTATGTATGTATGTATGTATGTATGTATGTATGTATGTATGTATGTATGTATGTATGTATGTATGTATGTATGTATGTATGTATTATGTATGTATGTATGTATGTATGTATGTATATATATGTATAGAGATATTATATATATAGATATATATATAGGTATATGCGGTTGTATATTGTGTATGTATACATAGGCATGTATATATTTGTTCCTATATAACTTGGCCACAATCACTTGGTCATCTCTGGGTTGTCCAGGCGAGAACCTGGAGCCAGCTCATCCATGAAATTCGCCATGGCTCCGAATTGTGTAATGGTCTCAATGGTAAATTACTCTCTGCTTAGTAACTTAGTAGCTACGTTGTCTTCAGCTGTTGACCTGGTTAAATCTCCTGCACCCTACGAGCCAACAAGTTGCCAGGTGAAACTGATCCACTGCAAGTTGGATGCCATCACAATCTGTGGATTTCATCTCGACAACTTTAACGCCACAGTGACGAGGTGTACCTGGGTGGCAAGTGTCATTCTTCCACACGCAGTGTGAAACCTGGCTTCGCAACACTTCCCCATCCCGCGATCTTTTTAGCTCGCGAAGTTGTGCGGCGTCAAGAGGCTGGCCGATTTCTTGGGTTCAGAAAACTCACCGTTTCCCTCAGCCACTGTAAACACAAGCGATTGCCATGGCCCGTCATGGCCAAGAAAAAACAGATCTGAGCATCAAACATGTTTGCCTTCTTCTGCGCCTCCCACCATACCTGAACAGGGCTTATTTTTCCCCCCACAAAATGTCCAGTGGATCAGCTGCAATCCTAGCTTAATGACATGAAATATTACATGTATTCATGTATATGTCTACATGAATTATATATATATATATATTCATATGCATATGTAACATGTGTAACATATGTGACATGTGTAACATGTGTATATTCTGTATTAATGTAATGTAATGTAATGTAAAGTAATGTAATGTAAAGTAATGTAATGTAATGGTATGGTATGGTATGTATGTGTGTGTATATATATATGTGTATGTGTATATATATACATATATATATGTGTGTGTATATATATACACATACCCATGTATGTATATGTAATTCTGTGTCTGTAAAGAAATGTTCCATGATACCCAAAGTGCCAAAGTCCTCAATGGAAAACAAGTACTCGGCACTGCCTCCGCAGCCTCCTCTGGTTTTGCTGACAAGACTTCACCCCACCTGACCAGCATGGAACGATGTCTATACATTACAATACATATATATATATATATATATATACACAATGCACATGTATATGTATAATGTACAGTGTACCATGTATAATTATGTATTATGTATTATGTATAATCATGAATAAAACATAATATGTACCAATTTGCCAATGGTGTTGCTTCACCAAAATGTGTGCACAACAATGTATGTATAATCATGACTGTCTACAGGTGGAATAATGGCAGGAGCACCAGATTCTGTCTGGCTGCTTGTGGCCTTCTCGGGCCAAGTGCGTCAGCCATCTCATTACAGAGTTCACAAGCTCCGCAAAGGTTTGAAACCAACTCCTGAAACCAGCTGGGAGTCGAAACCATCACCTGGGGATGAAAACAGGCATCTTCACTCCTTCCATCTTTATCTCTTGAATGTCTTGAAGGTAATTTATGTAACAACTGACAACAACATCTAACAACCACTGGCAAAGAATTGTCCGTTGCGCTCCGTACCACCGAGCTCATAGGGCCAGAAGTATCTCCTCAGGTCAAGTCCGGGTCCCGAAATTGTATCGTGGTCAAGCCAGAAACCATTGCTCCATTTTGCCAGAAACCAGTGGCATTCATTGGCATTCATCCAAAATTGGGGATTGATTTTTGGGTTTACCACCATTTTCATACATTTTCATGCATTTTCATACATTTTCATACATTTCCTTTCTATCTCTCAGTAACTCTGCAAAACGAGCTTCGGAGCCAACTTCCAGCTGCCACCGCAGTACATACATCGCCCACCGCTCTTCTCCTGCCAGATCTTGCAATATTGGAAAACTGCCAGTGCAACTATCCAAATCCTGATCCACCTATGTCTGTCATCGCAAAATTTGCCGTGTGAAGCATCAAAATGATGATGAACCATCAAACTTCCGGGTAAAGCAACCCAAAAAAAGATAGCATAGAAAAGTGTGTTCTCCCTATTTACAGGCAGGTTACTGTTCTATGTTTATTTGGGGTAATTACTATCTCCGATGTCCAGACAAATCCAATTCCCTGGTTGCAGAACCTGAGCTTGCTCGATGGCCACCTTGGAGTTCACAAAGCCAGGGCCTGCAGCTGCTTCCATCAAGCGGTTAGACGAACAAATGGACAGGTGGATCTAAGGGTGACCTAACTGTTCCCTGGTTCACTGGAATTGGTTGATTGCAACAGGACTTTGCCATGTAGGGACATTGGACAAAAGCCCTCAAGGGTAGATCATATCGCGAAGGTGATGCCTACAAACAATCGGCTGGCAAAAACCGAAAGATCCCACAGTCGCTGAAGGCTTTCCAAGCCTTGACTCGGAGGCGGTTTTTTCCTGGCATTCTTTCGAACTCATCATTTGAAGAGGCAGACAAGGTGTAAGAAGCAGGGGTAGGAGAAAAGAGGAGTGACAAGACGAGAAGAGAAGAGAAGAGAAGTCCATGGATTTGGTTGTACGAAAAATCTGCGAGCGTGGCATGTGTAAATATATATATATGAATTTATGAATATATGTATATGTATCTATGTATCTATTTATATATGTATGTACATAATATTATGTATGTAACTATTTATATACAATGTATATATATATATATGTATATATTTATACGTGTATATATATATGTATATATATATATGTATATATATATATATGTATATATGTATATGTATATATATATGTGTATATATATATGTATATGTATATGTATATATATGTATATATATATATGTATATATGTATATATATATATATGTATATATATATGTATATATATATATATATGTATATATATATGTGTATGTATGTATGTATGTATGTATGTGTGTGTGTGTCTGTCTGTCTGTATGTATGTATGTATGTATGTATGTGTGTATGTATATTATATATGTATATTATATATGTATATTATATATGTATATTATATATGTATATTATATATGTATATTATATATGTATATTATATATGTATATTATATATGTATATTATATATGTATATTATATATGTATATTATATATGTATATATCATTATATTATCTATATATCATAGATGTACATATCTCACAAATCAACCTGGGTATGCCCATCTGGGGTCATCATAGGTCACCATGCCATTTTGCAGGTGACTCTTCCGCACTGCTGTTCACCTGACAGTTCCTGAGCTTCCCAAGGCGCACCTCAAACCAATGGGCCTTTCTGCAAATGCCTCCTTCACGACTGAAGTTGGTACAAACCTGGCAAAACATGTGATGACCACCAGATTGCTGGCAACTGGTGGAACTCTGTGTTTGGAATAATAATCGTAGTATATCGTAGTGATAATAATAATAATAATTTATCATAATAATGATGATAAGAATGATAATGATCTTTGTTGGGATGTTTTTACTCAAGGAGGTAAAGTAATATAAGTAAGGGTGATGGATGGGGCATGTTTGTGCACTCCTTGAAGGGTTGAGGAATATGATGGAAGAAATCAGGCGTACTGTCTGCATCAAGGACAAACAGCACAAATTGCATGTGGCCCATCTCCGGTATGGAGTTAGGAAAAACCTGCCGGAACCACCATGGAACTTTGCGAACTCCCTCAAGGCGAAAGGATGGAGAAGAATATGCTTCTGACCTTAGGGCTGGCTGATGCACGTGCGCTAGTTCGTGCCTTGTTGAATATAACTCCAGGTCTGTCCTCTAGGTTCTGTTACCGCACAACTGTCAGACAGGTTTGAACAACCTTAGTGGCTAGGGCCCTCGCTGTTGGTCGGCAAAAGTTGCATCCAGCTTCATTTGCAGGTTCCACTTTAACTCCTGGAAAGTGTCACTCGCGACTCTCATGTCTTCCATGGCTTCCTCGTTGATTGATCAGGTTGGCTCAAACACCGACCGGCGTAAAAACAGTTAAGCAATCCTTCCAGTGAAGTCAAAGAACACGTTTACATTTGCAAGGCAAATCTTCAAGAAGCTTTTCAATGAATGGGGCTGTCAATATTTTGGGAAGGATTTGCAATCTCAATTTTGGCCGCTTCGACACTTGGATTATTTCGAAATTCTGCTGCTCTCCTGCAGCCCTGCTGAGGCAACGTCTTCCACCATGGACCGTCGACCCGTATAGCCTTGAACAAACGCAGCACCATCCAGCCAAAGCACACGGACTGTAAGTTGCTTCATGCTCAAACGTTGTTCCTACGCTTCCTACCAGCCAGCCTTCACGTTTGACCAGCAAGCCACAAAAAAAAAAGCGACGCTTGAACTGAACAGTTTGGACCTTCCTTTCTTCCGGGGCCTATTCTCATGGAACTTCAGAAAGGGGTTACAGCATGTTACAGTTCGAATTTCTTCCTCTTGGAATCTCTGCAGTTCTGCCTTGCAACCACTCCTCAAAGTGCGCAGCTGCCACCCCAGGTGTGAGGCCAGGCATGGCCTCAGGGCTGGAACTATGGATGTGTCAACTTGGATTTTCTTTGAATCTGCAGCATTTCAACACTTGGGTGAAATTACCCAACAAATCCCAACAATGTCTGATGAGTCCCATGAGTCCCGTGAGTACTGAGAAATGAACCGCAGACCATGCTTTGGCCACTGCATCGATCATAGCAGCTCGTCCTACCGGGATACTTCAAGAACATGCTGTCAGGCTGTCAGGAGATGTCCTTGAGATTGCAAAACAAACATCTTGCCAAGAAAAACATGAAGAACCAGGCAGTAACATACAAGGAGTCAGGATATGAGTCTTGCGAGTCAATCCGCACGAGCCAGAAAACTATGAATTTCAGGGCCGCTGAACAAATCGCATGGTCCTGTGTAGCTGAGCTTGGAATAAATGCCCTGCCAGCAACACAGTATGGCAAGTTTCGTCTCTGGCTTGGCATGAAAATGTTGAGTTGCTCTGCTTTTTATACACTCAGTAAGAGCAGCATTTCACGTTTCACATGTCGCTGGCCTCTCGACCCCTATTCAGTTGAGCCAATGATGGTGCCACTCCATCAATTGCTCCGATCAGCACCTCAAGACCTCAAAGGCTGCTTGTTGGGCTCGTTGCCAAACACTAGCAGTACTGCATTTGTTTTTTGTCAGGCCACAAACTGCTGATTGAACCAACCAATCCTTGCTTAGCATTTCAGGCAGGTTCCATCCAACTTCAAATGCTGATGTGGCATGATGTGGCACCCTTTTTCTGTTACTTTGGAAGAATTTGAAGGCAGAGTCAGCTGACTGGACTGTCATGCGCATTGCGCATCATTCAACGCATTTTCATCTTGTCCGGTTTCTGACAGAGCTTGAAAGACAGCTGTTCTGACCTTGCGAACCAATCGCGACTACTGACTACTGGGCCCAGGGCTTTCAGTGGCAGTCTTCAAGCGCCTCTCTATGGATGGGGCTGTAGAAAGCATGCCCTGCGCAGGGTTGAAGATAGACCAGAGACACTCGATTTCAGCTTCCAATCAAACCTCTAGCCATTGAGATGGCATGGGAGTTGTTCCCTTTTTGCTGGGCACAAAAAAGAGAAATACAGTCACTGTATGTCAGTGTGAGGATAATTTGGCACAACGTCCTTGACAACCAAAGCTTAGTGCACCACACCAGTAATGACTAAACAATATAATATAGCGACGTGGTCACACAACACAGAAAGTCTACTTTGTTCTCCAGCAATTCGAAGCACATAGCTTGCTCTGGGCTTCTGCCACCGATCGAGATAGTCTTGCAAATATTGAAGGCCTCGGTTGCAGCCACTTGACACTTGTGGAAGACCAAGCTGCTACATGCACGTTTTAGTCTTGTTGCAAGGCCACACAACTGCTTTTTGGGGAGCGAGAGGCGCGTGTCAGCTGCAATCTCTGGACTGTTCCATAGCCGATAGTCGTAGAGAAATCTCCTTAAAGCCACTTCACTGCAAGTAGGCCATTATCGGCCATGTTACCTAGCCCATAGATTGAAGAACAAATGCTGCTCTTGAAAGAAAAATAAACACTCAGCTCCAATGATGAAATCGTGACAGGAGGCGATGTATACTCCATCTCTATGGTCAATGCCGAGCGCAAGGGGTGGCAGAAAAAGGATCCGAACCTGAGGAACGTGGCATGGCTGTTGGAGCTATTGCGGCTGTTCTCGGAGTGGGAAGAAGGATTGCATTCACAACCTTACCAAAATCCATCACAAAAGGTGGTTACTCAGACTCAGCGACAAAATGCATGAAGATGGATGAAGGGTATCATGTTCCATCGAACCGAGCCCCACACCATGCGGCTTCCATGTCTGTTATCTCCCTCCAAAGGGTGGGATCTTCGCTGCTTGACACCACTGTCTCCTGGGCAAAGATCGCATCGTGGAGGATGAGGCGCACCTAAAGCCAAGGCTTGTCACGCAGCGATGCATGTCTAGTCCAGTCCAAAAAGTTTGGGATCGCCATGTATGCAGAAAACAAGCAAAAGATATGTGCATGTGTGTGTTTATATAATTTATATATATATTATATACATACATAATGATTATAATGTGACATCTTCCCTTAAAATAAATGTTTCATATAGTATATACAAAGTGTTTCTTGAGAGCAGCACCAGCTTGTAGCCAAGTGGTTGCAGCATTTCTGCATATGCTGACAGAGAACCTGAGCTTTCAGAATCAAGGTTTTGGAACCACTTGGAAGTGAAGAGTCTGGGATTCATCATGCCAGTGACATGCGTTGCGGCTAGCAGTTGAGCTGGGCTTGAGGAACAGTGCATCATGTGCCCTCTCAACTCGTGCTCCATGCCAAGCTCCAACATAGAGTCTCCTGTGTCCACTGTGTCCACTGGAACACAGGCTTTTGAGTGTGCTGTTGAAATGAAGCCCTGACTACAGAATCCAGACATAAAACACCAAACACGTGCTCACCTCCCATCCTTTATAGATGTTGACATGGCTTGGGCCTGCTGTGCACAGACATCGCCATCTTGTGGGTCTGACATTACACAACTACACAACCATTCCCAGCATCTCCCATTGAATCCCTAAATGTTTGTCCTCAGCAAGGCCAAACATGATATGGTTCTACAACTGGAACAGCTTCTCGTATCTTGTTCTTGATTTTATGTACTCGAGGGAAAATCCTCCATTTATAGACAATGTTCCCATGAAAACCTCCATTGAATTCGGGCGGACCCATCCATGTTTCAGATGGTAAGCGGGGTAAGAAAAAAAGGATCAAGGTATGTCAAGGCCAACGACAGCTCTCCTATAGACTGACCGAATGCAGTCGGACGGTACACCAAGGGTGGAGGAATGAAGGAGCTCACCTGCACTTTGCCGTAGCGAGTCGTCCAAAGATTGCCAGCTGTTAACCAGGACCCAAAAGCTTAACCAGGACACCAAAATCAACAAGCCTTCCTGATGTTCACAGTTGCTACCATGGAGCGTGTTTGCACATGTTTGAACAATGCCAAATATATATATATATATATACACATAATATATATAAATAGATTAAATAGCATCTGTCCCTGGACATCCCAATCACTGCCGGATTTGGAACTGCCTCGACGTGCAGGTGCAGTGGTCGTAATCCACTTTGCAACAGAACCTCCAAAAAGCAGCAGTCGCAGTTGTCGAAGTCGACCTAGGCACAGACAGCGCCAACAGAATCCTGCGTGGCTCAAGTCAACTCTTTGAGGTGAATTGGCGCTTGGCGCTTCCCTAATGATTTCACAGAACAATGATCCACTTCGCACTTGAACAGCTTCTCTCTCTGGTTGACTTTCGAGCTGGAGGCTTTCAGCAACTCGGGCTCCACGGGAGGCAGTCCTCAGGGCGCTGCCAAGGAGAAACATGTATGTTTTTTCTGTAAAACCCAAACCAACCCAATGAGTCCAATGAGATCAGTGTACAGGAACCTGGACAAACAGTCTGAAGCAACTCCTCACATGCTCGCAGAATCCTTGAGCCCCGGCACTGGATTGGAACACGGAAACCAAAGCAGCGACCTCTTCCAGACTCGAGAAGCTAGCTAGAACTAGATGTCGGATACAGTTGCTGCAAGTTCCAATGCAAAGTGAGCTGAGGAGCTGCTTTCAACCCCAAGGAAACAATGACCAAACTCTCAGAGCCTGCTCTGGGTCTGTGGCGGCATTAACCACTGCGACATCCGACCTGCCCTCGAACTCCTTCAGGAGATCAACAGCGCAGCGCACAGCAGGACTTGCAGTTTTTGCACATATTTGGGCATGGGGTCACCAAAGGCAAACAGGTTGTTCCACACATCCCAAAGTAAATACAGTGCAAATGTTTGACTCACAGTCTACATACAGGGAAGATCACTCACATCAAGAGTTGGTGCACATGAGGTGCCGCAACTGGCCTGCGACAATTTTGCGATCTTGGTCCCGTCGCCTCCCAGAAGAGAAGGGTTTGGAGAAACTTCTCTGCCGCAGTTTCCAAATCAAATTGCAAGTCGCAATTCGAAAAATGTGGTTCTCAACTGCCTTGCAAATCACAAACGAGGCCACCTTCAAACAGGATCCCAGCAAATCCTTCTTGCAGAAGACAGTTTGCTGGATCATCCGCCTGCCATGTCAGAAAAAGACAGGCCGGGCATGAATTTTCCACAGCCGCTTACCCTGTAGATGTCATTGTCCAGGCCATCCTCCTTCGAAAGATCCTGGGATGCCAAGCTGGACATGTTGATGCGAATACAACTTTTCATCTCAGAGACCAGGTACTCAAATTAGGGATACTTACCTGACATGTGCGAGGTCCATGTAAAAAGCAAACAAATATCCCCAGGAATTATGATATGGTCCTACATGCCAAGGATAGATCCAACAGCCACGTGTCATAGGCGCATGAGCCATCTCCAGCACCAAGGTTGATCACCCAGCCTGCAAATTTTGGTGCCACTCCTATGTTTGAAAATGGGTCTATCACAGCAATGAATTCCTGTGAATTCCTCTATGTTTCATATTGTTCCATGAGTTTCTGTGGAATCTCACACCAGATGTATGTATTCGTCCAGAGTCCAGGCACTGCAGCCGCAGCCCCCGACCTTTCTGCAGAAGGCTTGAAAGTCGAGGCAAAGGCGGGGCATGGTACCATGAAAGCGAAGCGGTTGTGTCGCAAGCGGCGCTACTATGAGCTGGATGTTCAACCCAAGGAGGAAGCCAAAAGGCTGGCACTTGGCTATTGCTCCCTCTGAACATGTTGCTACCAAGCGCCACAGCCATGCTCCTGGGAAACCAGGGTCCAACGCAGATGAATTGGAAACCGAATGGATGGATTTCATGAATTTCAACAGCCGGCCTCAGTGTGAGATGCCCCATGATGTCAATGGACTGCAAATGGCTGGCTGTGTAGCAAGGATGACGCTCAACCAGCGCTGACAGGTCTTCTATTGCTGGAAGACCCATCCTCCGGTGATGCTCAAGATAACACCCAGCAAATACAACAAGCGATCGGAACTCCCTCTGCGATTCTTGAAAGTTTCAAAGCAGTATAAGTCTGAAATTGTGCTTGTTTGTCAACAGTTCTACATGCAACTTGCCATGATCATGTCATGATTCTGTAGGATTCTGTGCCAGGAATCTGTCGGTAAGCACTGCTCGCTTCCGTTTCCCTGTCCAGTTGCAGCACCGCAGCAACTTCCCCGCGAAAGAGGCGGCACGTCCGCCCTGATGTCTGGATCTCTTGTTCCAGGCCACCGGGGAAACAACCACTGAAAACCCGAGGAGCTGGTCTCACAGACCTGCGTCAAAGTCTACAGTCTACGGGTCATGGTATATTGATATATTTTGTGGTAATACTGATACTGATGTATATTGCGACTCAGTCTTCAAAGCTGACCTCATTGTGGAACTTCAGAGCTTCAATTCTTGCTTGTGCCCATTCCATCCATGACTCAACGGTCGACAAAGTGTTTGACTCCATTTATGCAGCTAGGAACCGCGATGCACTCGACTTCGAGCATCGTCGCTAGCAATTTCGCATAAGCCCGGTATCGCTGCGGCGCATGATGGCGTGATGCGGTTCGCCAAAGGTGTCTGAGAGACTGTGCAGCAGTTCGACGCACAACTCGGTACTGCGAGCTCAACGATGCAGGTGAACCTGATCGGAAAGAAACACAGCCAGCGTCGCGATGTGTAGCCTGTCTTTCTCCTGTTGGAGCATTCCAGATTCCCATGTTTGCAGTCTGAGCACATTGCCCAGCGTGAAGAATCACTCAGCACACTACCATGACACTGAAGCAATGAGTGACAAAAGCACAGCCGAGAAGCAAACATCATCAGCTTTCTCCTCTGCCTCGATATCCTGCAAAAGTCTTCTGCATGTTCCATTCCAAGCTCAAATGAATGAAATTGATGGTGAGGGTGTGTCTGAAAATGGGTATTCCCAGAAACTGTGATTTTAGTGGGAGTGGTGATGATGATGATGATGATGATGATGATGATGATGATGATGCTGATGCTGATGGTGATGGTGATGGTGATCAACCATCAAATTTGTGGCTACCCAATTTTAAGAGTTTCAATATGTTTCGATAATATTCAATAGCATTTGATGAAATTGATTTATTGTCAACATGATCATGTTCAAACCTTGGCCTGCAGCTTCAATTTCAAAGGAGGGCAGCTGAAGTGGTGGAGCGGCGTTGGAGAATCCATTGGGCAACCCTTGTCACATGCTGTCGTTTCTGACTGCTGGCGAACACAATGTGGAAAGGCGGGTTCCGGGTTCTATCCTCTATTATGTTCTTTCTATCATATTATTCTTCAAGTATGTTATCTTTTACATCTGTAGAATTGCTGGAAACATCAAATGCAGGCGCCCCAGTATTGCTTGATCAATTCCGCTGTGAAATGGCTACAAATGCAACAGCCACATCCACAGGTTCTTAGTGCGGACTGGGGCAGCGCAGGGCTTGCGGGGCAGACCAGCGCCAACTGTTGCTCCAGGTACTGCTGAGCCTCAAGGTGAGTGCACCAAAACCTATTGAAAATTCACAGCTGGGCATGAAAGTTCAAACCAGTCACATCAACAATGCTTGGTGATAACGGTGATAACCTCATAACTCATAACGACATTGTTAACAACATTTGTGGTTCTATCGAAAGTGACCTGGAGTGGCATGTGCTTTGGCCCCCAGCCTGTCGGAGATGTACGACTCCTGTGCAGCTTCTCTGAGGCTTTGATTCCAATTCTAAAATGCCAATTCTAAAGTTTGGTGAATAAAACATCACCAGTTGCTCTCCATTCACAAATACTGCTTTGACTCTGTCAGTCCCCATGGAGTTCCTTGGTCGTGAACACCATCGCGCTCCTGCTCCAAGCTTGAAATCAACTGAATAATCTGAATACCTTCAAATTTTGATCTGGCGCCAACCTCTGGATCTAGGATAAAACAGGCAACTAGGGGTGAAGCCCAAGCCAGGAGCGATTGTTCAGCAAGCCTCAGATTGGATGCAACCAATTCGTCCACTGTGCTTCTGAAAGCAAAATTGGAGGGATACACCTCACAGTTGTTGTGGAAACATGAGCCAATGCGGACCTGTGGATCCATGGGTTGAGCCTGGCCTACAGACTAGTGGCTTTGCAGCAGTCATTTTGGTGGCCATAATTTTGAAAACGAGCCAATGATGCCATACTGTAATCTGATCTAGAGAAAAAATGCAATGTCAAAGGTTCCAGAGGTTCCAAACATGTTTATTAATTTTGCATGAAACAATCCGTAATGGATCTCTTGCCTGACTCTACAGCAAGTGTCAGATCAAAGTCCACCCTGCCGTGGCCAAGAAGCTCAACTCCCAATGACCCAGGGGTGCAGCCGGCTTCAAGCCAAGAGGAGCAAGCATCAGAAACGATGCCCTGCGCTTCGGTCATTCGGTTGCTGCAAGATATGCAGATACTTTGCAAAAGCCCGGCACAAAATGACGAAGTCCTCTAAATTCTGGGCTTTGGCTGAAAATCGAAAATTCTGGTTTGATATGGTTTGATGTTTCCCATCCGGTCGATCATCATTTTCCATCATTTTCCATCATGTTCCCTTTTGCCGGTCAAATATGTCAAATCACCTCGAATTTTCCATCCATTTCCGTTTCAAATAAATTTCCCGACATCGGCTGGGAAAGCGGTGGCCTCTGCCACCCCACCCTGTGCGCAGGATGAAGATACCAGGTCGACTGCTTCACCACCTGGGCCAGATCCGAAAAAGAGCTGTTACGATTCGTTACGATTAACTAAGTATTGTCAAACATCGAAAACGGATCCAAAAGAGATCCCATCCTAACAACAAAAAGGTCAAGAGATGTCAAGAGTATGCGCTCAATTTGATAATGTTCTGCACACAAACACCAAGTTTCCATGGAGCTGACACCGCTCACAGGATGTTTTTTCTTTCTCGGCCAAGGTCCGGACGTGTATCTGCTTGCTCGAAAGGGCCAAGAGCCCACTCGGCAGACAGCAGACCTTGGGAGGCCATGTGGCAACGTATTCTCGAACGCAAAATCTGTCTGAACCACTTCCAAGTACTGATGCAATCACAAAGTGAATCAAAACAATATTCAATACTACACAAATATACCAAAATTATCCGAACGGGATGCGAAGCATACGACCGCACCTCGTTTGACAGCGTGTCTTGATGGGCTTTCTACATCTACAGCTTAGGTCAACGCTGATCTCTTCCATCTTCATTGTTCTGGCCAGCAGACCAATGGATCGTGCCCTCGTTTGAGAAACATCACAGGCAGAGCGTCACCCATACTCTCGCTGCCAACTGAAACTTTCAGTCCCAGACAACACTCCTGGAGGTTCATCACCAGGCATGCCTTTTTGGTGCTGGAAGAATTCCAGGACACAACGATGAACAAGAGTGAATAGTAATATCTAACTCTAACTACAGTAAAAGTTTGGAAAAGGCATGGAGGATGAACGGGCCAGCATTCCTTGCCTGAATCTGCACACATCTTTGCCGCCTTCAATAACCAAGGGGCCTTGTCTGTTGCAGTTGGATCATTGCGTTCCTCTGGCTTTTGCCAGTGTGCTTCGCTATCCAAACAATACTGAAAAACCATGGGATGCCTTCACCGGGATGAAATCATTTGAGAGCTGGTGCGAGAAATCAATTCTAAAGCCGCATGCAGAGTTCTCCTTGCTAAGCTCGCTGCCACAAGAGTGCTCAAGGTTGTTTCAGGCTGCTTCTCCCGCCATTCACCTAATCATTGAGCCGGCATGTGCATGCTGCGATTCATATAATTATTCGGTCTAAGATTGGCTCCGTGCTGCTGTTGTATTGATAATTTCGGCAGCCAGTTGCTTGAAACGAAAATGAAACTGAGCAGCTGACGCATGCTAAACTCCAGCTCCGCTTGCAAATCTGGGAATATCATCTGCACAGCAAGGCGCCTTGGTAATGCTGCCAGTTTGATAATAAGTTGGTCAGAGGATGCTAGAGCACGCGAGGACCATTTGCATTTGTTATTCCGCAACGACTGGATTGATGGATCTTTCCTTCATTGTGTCCTCTGACAATTGTATGCTTGAAGGGCTAGCTTCTCCGCGAATACAACTGAGCCATCCACTGCAACAGTTGATTGGCAGCCAGATCTGCCTTCATAGCAAGGGGCAAGGGCTGCAGGAGAACTGTGAAAGCGAAGTGGTCTTCCAAGAAGCAATGATGCTGGCATCATGCAGTAGACTGCCTGACGGATTTTCTGATCCTCCCGCTCCTGATAACTTCAGAGCTTCAAATGTCAAGTGTTATGGAGCCATTTCCAATCACGTTAGTTGAACTTTAAAATCTTTAAATGTCGAATTACTTCCAGCACAGAACCCAAACTGGCAAAACAAAGCACAGCAAATGTGTCGCCTGTTCTGCTTTCGGTCCTGTGTGGGGCCAACAAGGCGAAGGACCTCATCTGCATCTCGTAGAGGAAACCTGGTCGCCGTTGCTAGAAATGCTCTCTACATCACTCTGCACTGCTGAAAATCATTGAAAAAGGATTGATGATATTGATGGATTGCAATCCTGTGACCCTGCCAGTTCACATCTCAAACAAACGATCTTATTCCGGTGCCAACTGAGCCCTTGGCAAGTTCCAGCTGTCTTGGCCTTTGCCCACAAAGCTAAGAGCGCAGGAGGTTCATGGAGATTCCACGGTTTTCGTTTGTATGGAGCTACGGTGTGGACAGGACCCATTCTTCTTTGCGATCTATTGTGCTTCACCACATCACTCGCCTTCTCGTTGCTCGTCAGGCCAGAGGTGACCTGAGGATGTTATCCCGATATGTCGCGAGATCAAAAAAAAGGTTCAATCGTCTTCAGACTGATGCAGAAATGGACTAATCCCTTTCCCCCAGTAAACACCACCATTTATGGTCCCAAATATGTGATTTCATCGTTTTCATCACCAAACCATGATTTCTGGGTGGTTCAGATGAACGGATGGGATTGGTGAACTAGGATCGTGACTCAGCAGTGGCAGAGACCGCTCAGTGAACCTGGTCGTGGCCGCACGCCTCGCCAGCATGGCCTGCTCGAGCTTTGCAGTCGCATCCTGGAGAAATCGCAAAGGAACAAGTCATGGTTCCCCATGGTTCCCCCAGAAGCCCCAACACCTGAGAAGAACAGCTGTCAGTCTGTCATCCTGCAAATATCCAATGATACTAACAGTGCAGTTGTAACCAACAATCTGACAAAATATCATATGATCATATACGTATGAAATCTCAGATATCTCAGATATCTCAGATATGTGATACATCTCCAAAGGATTTTGCCGATACACGAACTCGGCAACGTCCTGAGGATCCACCATCTCAGGATAGGCCTTTTTTTCGGACCAGCCAGCCTGAAACCCCGCACACAGTGACGATACCTGGGATGCCTGCAGTACACATATCCAAGGGTCGGACCGGCTCACTCAACAACCAGTCAATTGCTGGGGCCAATGTATGGCCTGGCCTCACAATGAATAGCCATGGCTTTCGTGTGGCACTTGTGAAATAGTCGTAGCCACAACTTCTGCCGCTTTGTCCTCTGAGTCGCTGAGTTCGACACAATCCCAAAGATATCAAGTGAGAACTACATCTCGCAAGTGGGCCAGGCCTAAAACCATTATGTCGACTGAGTCGACTCAGTGCTGGCGCTCTTTTTTGTGTTAATGAGGTACATCTCAGTCACATCTCCTTGTGCTTAAAATTCTGTGAGGACGTCAAGCCGAGGTCGGAACAGAATTGAAGGGCTTTCAGCCAGCGTTGCCAGACTTTCTTCACCACTCGTCGGATCCATCAGATTGTCCTGAAAAATGGCGTGCTGAAAACCCATCACATAGATACATATATACATGTATACATGTATACATGTATGTATGTATGTACGTACGTACGTACGTACGTACGTACGTACGTCTGTCTGTCTGTATGTATGTCTGTCTGTATGTCTGTCTGTCTGTATGCATGCATGCATGCAGTATGTGCGTATGTATACATATATATTATATATATATGTACACATATCCCATTATATTCCCATCACATCACCATTTTTGCTGCTTAAATCCCTAGCCTTGCCTCAGTAACCAGGCGCTGGAGCATGATGTCCCTGGTCACCTGCAGAAGGAAAAAAAAGAGCGGGTGGAGCATTGGAAAATGTTGAGCTGCGGTACCCGAAAAGGTACGCATAATGGGCATATAGTGGGAATATAATATATAATGGGGATGTAATCAGATGAATACAATGAGTAAAGTCCTCCGGCGTCATCAATCATGGCTGGCTGCGAAATCTCCCATAAATGGATGGTTTTAATATGTTTCAATGGGAAAATATTCTATAAATGAGGATTTTCCATTGCCATTTTTGATTACCGGAGGGTTTAGCGTGTATTCAGGAAGAAACAGCATGAAGCCTCTGAAAACCTCTTCTGGTCTCGAATCTGCTGATCCGCTTTGCTACTGAACCCTTCAACATCCTTCGACATCCTTCAACTGCACCAGTCTGCATCAGGCTGCACCTTCTCGCACTTCTCCAACTGGAAGTTCTTGGCCACCTGGAAGCGTCACTGGAAGCGATGCCGGCGATGCAAGCGATGCCATGACATAGCCACCCCATCCACCAAGAGCCAAGCCCATCTTTCCAGCACAATTTCCAGGTTCAGCAATGGCCTTGCACACATGAATCCTATGTAAATCCTACGAAGGTAAACTTCAGAACATGTGTATTTCAGAAACCTGCTTCTGTTGCGGCAAGTGCCTTCACCAATTTATATCAATATATTATATATATAATATGCGTATGATGGGTGTATATCATATATATATATATATATGTATATCATATATATATATATGTATATTATATATACATATATATATGTACATATATATATATATATATACATATATATACATATACATATATATATATATATATATATTAATATTATCGTTATTGTTGTTATTATGATTATTATCATTATTATTATTATGTTAGCTATATTAAGCATCGAAAATTGATCACGAAAGTCAGACTTTGGGGCAACCAACGCCACCGTAGTGAAGGCTTCCATAAGTCGTGTCAGAAGAAGCGAGAAGGCCTCGCTACCAATGTCCAAAGAGATGGAGGTTTTCACAAATGGGGCAAGCCCCAATAGCTGGATGGGTTTTGTCATGGAACATCCTATTTAAATTTGGATGATTTGAAGTTATCCCCATTTTAGGAAACCTCCAAATATAAGAAAACATTGAAAGAAAGTGAGAGACAGTGAAAGGGACAGAGAATAGGATTCCATACGATTCCACTTGACCATTTTGGGTCACCATGTGAATCACTTGCTAGGTGTCGGGCCTCCTTGGGCCTCGGTGGAGGTGCTGGATCCTGGGTCCATACCATGAGACGGAAAGGGCACCCATCCTGTGGTCAGTTTATAAAAGTTTCAGCATAAGTTGCAGCGTAAGTTGCAGTCTCAGACTTCCAAATGTCTAAGGGCACCACGCGCCTCTTCAGCTTGCCTACAGGTTTGTCTTCTCCTGTCATTGGAAGATCTCAATCTTCTTTTGATGGCTCAAACACACCGCAGCCATGCTATGACTCTGACATCATGGAGGAATCGAGCAGGCTCCTATCTTCCAAATCTTTACCCTCCTTCGAAGCCTTTCTGGCAAAGCCATTCGAGCCTGGCCACTTCCAAGAATGGAAGGAGATCATGACACGATCAACAGTTACCATTTGTTACCATGGTCTTCCTTTGCTCTGTTAACTTACCTTGGTAAACCCTTCAGAACCGCTGACCTTCTCTTCCGGAACTCGAAGCTTGCCAGTAGCGAAGGTCAGAGATGCCAAAGCCTTTGATTGGAGGTCTCAATGCGTCAAAAGAATGATGTAATCTGATTGTCTTGAATCTTGACAGCTACTCCGTTCCCTCACCATTCCAATTCAAAACTTTCTACCCAAAAAAACATGGCATCACATGGCATCACATGGCATCGCAACGTGCTCCCCGGCCTCCGCTGCCCGCTCTGGACCTGCTTTCTGCATTGCCTCCCACAAATTCAAGAGGAATTGCTTGGAATTGTCGAGTTGCTTTCTGTAACTTGCCTTCTCGCTACAAAGCCACTTGCATAGGTCAGTGAAAGCTGCTCGCATGTGTCAGTCTTGAGTCTTAGTGAAGCGTCAGCCGCAGACAACGCAGGCCCTGATAACTGAACATTGGCGCTTTCACATCACAAGGGCCTCTAACAGCGGGAAGCGAACGAGTTGAAACCTCGGAAAGTGATGCAACAGGCTACAGCAAGCAAAGCATTGCCTGTGATTGTCTATGATTATACTCTATGTGACTATGTGTGTTCTTTACATGTAACAATTATGTGTATACATATATATATATATGTTTTTTCCCAAACAGGGTCTCTCCCACTGGAGCCAGGTCTCCCATAAGGACAACACATCTCATCATCGAGTCCGTGAACTTCTGCCATCCTTTCTGCCTCAAGCCCCAGCCCGGGGCCCCAGCCGTCCCGAGTTGACCCATCCCGGCTGAAGTCGGCTGAGTCTTTGGACGATGGACAGCATTTCCACAGGGTCTCCACCTTGTGCAAAACCAATCAGGATTGGACCACCTGAAAGTGATACATATGTATATATATATATATGTATGTGATAATGGAATTGACAGGTCTTCCGAACTTCCCAACAAAAAGTGTCTGTGTGTGCGTGTGTGTGCGTCCAGAGCATATTCCCAGTAGAATGAGGGGACACCACACACGATAAACCTTTGAAATGGCACATTTGTGCATTCGCTTCCGAATTGTCAGGCCGCTACAGTAGTCTAAATCCAACCAAAAGACTGTCCACAATATCAAAGTGGGCTGTGCATGTTGGATTCGGCTTTGCTTGATCACCCTGATGTTGAAAGCAAAAGGAGCAAAAAGATGTTGTTCTTGGTTGGCCTGCTTTTGCTGGTTTTGCATGCTGGCGCCATCAGATTCCCATATTAGAACCGGGATTCTGTAGGGCAGTGCCCTGCTTGGAACAATTGGTTGTTTCACCCTGCAACGGAACTATCACAGGGAATAGCGTCTGTATGCACATTCCATTATATCTGTTCCATACTACAAGTCATGCCGACTATCAAGCAACCCAACTTCAACTTGTGTTGAAACCGACAGCAGGTCCTGTGGAGGTGGCACTTCAAGTTTCATGCTGAGAGCAGGACGGTAGAAGGCTCCTTTTCGAATGCAATCCTTCAAGTACAGCGAAATACCGCAAAATACCATCAAAATGTTCTACGAAAATTATGGATCTTCTCCGAAAATAGAGGATATCCTCAAAATTGCCATGTGTCAATCATGTTTACCATCAAAATCCTGCTCCAATTAACATCCTTTCCCATAAAAAAATTGGGCGGCTCTCCCCGCCTCCATGAGTTCCACCTCTTCGGTGGTCTCCGAAACAGAGCCCCACAAAGCCATGCCCATCCAGGCCTCGAAACACCAAAGGATTTTATGATAACCTACAGCAGAATACAGCAGATATTCATATTCAATATGTATATGTATTATACGTATGTATGTGTGTATGTATATCAATACATTTATGTGTATATATATATATGAAATGTGTGTATGGACACGTAAATACGTGTATGTGAATTGTGTATCTATATATATATATACATATATGTATGTATTTATATATATATGACGCATGTATGCACGTACGTATGTATGTATATATTGGTATATATATATATATGTGCAAAGGCTGGGATGCTTTCTGGGGATGCGGAAGAATGGAAGACATTGGAATCCTGACATGCCTGGGTCATACCTGGATCTGGGGTCTCGGCAGCTCGGTCTGGTGGTGCCAGGTCAATATCTAAACCTCAGGCAGGAGAGGCCAGCAATGGGGACAAAGCACCCCAGCACAGCCTCCTGATGATTCTCAAGGTTTGCAAAAATACAACTTCTGTCAGAGAAAAGCAGGTGTATAGTAGTGAATACCCTCCAGCTCCTGTGAGGCAAACCCGGACTTGCAAGCCCTGCTCACTACAAAGAAATTTGATCACATTATTCGGAAACTCATCTGTATCCGTCAGCTGCAACAAGTCGAAGCACAAGGGATTGTTCGATTCTTCGCAATCGCATTGCCTCAACTATATACAAGTACCATAGCCCAAGAACAATTGAATCCTGAGCCTTGAACTGGCCACATGTCGTACCACCACACGTGCCTACGGATTTAGTGCTGTGCAGATTTGGCTTGGCAACCATCATGGAGCAGAGACCTTGCCATGAAGTACGCCTTGTGAGCCATGATCACCGCGAGCTTGCCATTGCGGGCCCTACTGACCCACTTGTCAGTGACCTGCACCCATTCAAAGCATCTCCAAAGCAACGTTAGCAACTGGGTGCCTGAAAATGGGCTCGGCCTACCTCCAAAATCGCTTTTGTTTGTGGGGAAATTGATGAACCATTGTATAAACCTTTGGGGGAACTTTTGCTGCCAGGATTTGTCACCTTGAGTACCAGAAGGAATGTGGGTGCGCCCAAATTACCGGTGTCCCCACATGCCTCCAGCAAATGCCGCGGCTCGAACTGGTTGAGGCGGGCCTGCGGCCCGGGGGCTGATGGGACCCATGGAACCCACTCTGGAGCTGGTGGAGCTGGTGGAGCTGGTGGAGCTGGTGCCTTGAGGACCCTATCCTTTGCTGCCTCATAGAGGAAGCTCAGCTGTATCTGACAAGGGAGGCTTTCATTCTGCCGCGCAATATGTATAGCTGGAAACCGTTTCACTGACACTTATAAAATCTAAGAAGCTGATATTGCTCACACCTCTCCGTAGGGCTCCAAGAAGCTGATCACTCGAGGCAACGGCTCCAGCGTTTGCCTTGCACTGGGATGCACTGGGCATTTTTCTCTGGTCATGTCTTGACCTCGCTTGCAGCTCCCCAGCCTAAGGAGCGCTGGGATGGACTTCTCGATGGCAGTGCGAAAGAATGGCAAGTACTTCAAGACCATCTCACCCTGGCAGCGCTCACCAAACAGCTTCATTTAGCTTCACTCAAGAACTACCAGAAATCAAGCCCAAAAAATGGATCCAACATTGTTAGCACATTGAACTCATTGAACGTGCCGTGCCTGGTCATGGAATGCCTTAATCATTCGTACCACATCATCTCCACGATCTTCCAGCTCTGTGGCAACCTCCGATTTTTGGTTTCGGCACATCCGTAGCAATGCCTTGGCCAGGTTGGGCAACAATGGAGGCAGCATATGACAACGTCTTTGAATAACATAATATAACACTGCAAACAAAAAATGACTGGTCATAATAGCAACAACAATAATAACAATGACAACAGAAGGAATAGGTAGTAAATATCATGCTATCAACGATGATGTTTAATGGTGTTCAAACAACAATGATCATAGCAATGTCTCTATTTGATTTGGAATGTGTTTTGTTTTCCCTAAAACGGCTTGATCCACTTGCCACCGGTGCTCTTCGCTTCCAAGGGTACAAAAGTTGCGATGCTGAGACAAACAGCACACATTACGGCTCATGTGTTTCCAAAAACAAAACTTTGCAGTGTGCACGCAGCCGTGACTCAGTTGCCCACTCTCACTCCTGTTCCACTTCGACCAAGGAAGTCTTTTGGGGTCAGGTCCTGATCATGGCGGTCCGCTGGTTCAACATGATCTAACTTGCCAAAACATGACAACTTGACATGGCCAGCATTCTCACAGGCCAAGAAAATCAAGGCCGCAACATCACCAGCGGTGTGTCGCAATTCACAGTATCGAAGCAAAGCCCTGGTGCTGGGATGACAGTGTCAGGGGTGTGACAGCGAGCCCTCGCTATGGATGTACTCGCTGTTGGATGCTGCTGGTCTGTCAGTGGAATGGTTTCATTGCGATTCTCCGTTTCAGATTGTGTAATATACTCTGTAGGCGGCAAGTCCAAACATAAAATGGGTGAAAAGAAACTCAGTTTGAAACAGTCTCCATCGATAACATGCAGAGATTAAAAGGCAGCATGTTTTGAGCCCAGCTATTGGCACATCTTCCAGGATCCGATTGCCATCCTGATGGTCAGTGCAGTATCCATCTTGGGTCGAGTGGTGCGGTCCTGGGCGCCAGATTCACATCTGATTTCGTCAAGTCATTCACACTGAGGGTAGGACTGGGTTGCTTGACACTGACGCTGGCGAAAAGGTTCCTGGCATTGGATGGCGTTTGGCTCTGTCAGAGTTGATGCTAACCGCTCCACTGCTGCGCAAATATGAGACTTCATCAGACTTCAGGGCCTGATGCGGTAGCCAGGGCTTTGCACAGGGTCCTACAATGACCCAGGTTCAATTTGCCCAGCGGGTCCGCCAACACAACCCTCTCACCTCTCACTTAAGACATCCTAAAACTGCTTCAAGAAGGCGCTTTTTGCCGAGACAACTTGTTCCGACCAGTCGATTCAGTCTGCCAAAAGCTTCTCTGGCACCACTGTGGGTTCACTGGACCAAATGAGCCATGAAAAATATCCCTATCCCATCCGGTCCCATCCGGTCCCATCCATCATACTGGTTGGCAAATGGATATCCCGAGTGTCTCCTGAGGGAGTCAGTGGTCATTGCATCCTCCAAGGCTTGAGTTGCCGGATGCACCAAGATGGCCGCATCCTGCGTGGGATACAAGTCATTGGGCCTTAAAGGTGCCATTTTAATAGGAAAATTAATAATGGATGATGATTTTCCAATGGAGTTAGGGGTACCCTATTTTCAGACAAACCCATGTTCTGTCAATGTGTTTCAGGTAAGTTCTGAGTCGACCAGCTGCTCCTGCGGATCTTGGCGAACGAGAGCTTCGCCTCAAACAGACTCACATCGTGCGGGTGTTTCAATGGAAGACAATGTTGCCATGACATGCCAAGAGTGTAAATCTGCAATATTCTGCAATCATAAAGAAAATCTGGGCATCCAACTTTGAAAGTCTACCTCCGGCTCCATGTAAGGTGGCAAGGGAGGACGGACTAAACGTCCTTGCGCCTTCCGAGAAAGGCGAAGGCCACGACGAAGTGCCTGGCCTGCGCAGAGATGGGCCATGGGCTGGGAAGTCCTGGAACTAGGAGGTTTCAATGGGAAGACCGTAGGAAAATATGGGAAAATCTGAAAATCAATTTTAAATGATTATAAATGAAGGTTTATATATACTGTATACTATTATATTTTCAAGCAGATAGATAAGTTGATTAATTAGCAATCCTTTTTCGTCATTAGACAGTACGCTGCAAGTTGGTACTCAATTACAACAATTACCTTGCCATTACATTCTTCCCGTCAACAGCTATACCAGTATACCATTCTGCAAATACATGTATGCGTATGTATTGATATGTGCTTTCCGATCTCCCGAGGCTTTGCCCAGGACTTGAAAACATGAAGCAGTGAAGCAGTTGTGTGTCCAAACTGCTGTCCTTGCTTCCAATTCATGAATCCTGTGCTTCTACAGCATAGGCCTACTCTAAGGGTAAGCCAGAATCGCTATCATTCCTATAATATATATTATATATTATGATTTGCTATCTACTGTGTTAAATACCTCTTTTCATATCTTTCACCATTGTCTGTCGATCAAGAAACCTGCTAGAGCTGGCCTGATGCTGCCAGTCCAGCTGAAGCAGTGACGAGAATCAGAGTTGCAACCTGGTCAGGCCATGGTTGATGCGTTGGAGAAGAGAATGTGTCAAGAGACACACCCGCAGAAGAATCTCAAAGTACATCTTTGCCTCATGGATGCAACATAACCAGTGGTTGCTGATCCATTTTCCCCATGAAATCCATTAAGTTAGTCATTTGGGGTAAAACCTCATTTTCAGACACACCCATATGTGGTATCTCTTTCAAGAAACACATTTGCAACCCCTCCTGCGGTCAGCTAAAACGGCCATATCAAATTGTCAATTGGACAGACTGCCCTGCATACAGACTGCTGAGGTGGCAACCGGGTTTTCTGCTCCAACTCTACCTCCACCTCGCGCCCCGAAACCAGGACAAATGCAGGACCATAGTAACCATAGTAACCATAGTGACCATAGACTTATATAAAATGTTCATGGACAGATTTGGATCTTAAAATTGCTACCAGGGGAGATGGTAAGTGTTCAAGATCCAGATCCAATGGGTGCAACCGGCGAAAGCTGTCGGCCCTTGGGCAGCAGACTTTCAGCTCCCAGGCTATGTCTTGCATGTGCCTCGCACGTCAGAGTCGCTGAACACTAATCACATGGAGAAGGCTCAGAAAACTTTAAACAGTGCAGCTATGCAGTTTCCGCTGTGCAAAAGTTTCGCTAGTCTTTCTCAAGGTCGTGAACAGCCATACTTGGCTATGCTCAGTGTGGGTTGTGTCTTGGATGAAGCAATGCGAACCATTTTCTATCTTGACACAGTGGTAGACCTCAGACGCTCTAATCTGTACGAAATGGCATTTCATAAACACTGAATCTGGATGGCTGACTCTGCAGGGAACCTGCACTGGTTGTCCAGTGACTTGTTCAACCCCAGAGAATGCATACATCAGCCAATCCTGCCCCACACATCCCAGGGCAAGGTTGGATGCGCTTTGCCTTTGTCCGCTTGCCTACAAACTGTATCTAAAGAACAATGGGTTAGGGTTTAATGGCACCTGCCCAACAGGGGCACAAAGGTTCTCCCTACAAGCGGACACCTGGCTGCAACCTTGCAGGATGAAACAACCGGAAGGATTGCCCTTGTTGCAACAAACCAACCCTTGGAAGTCTAGAGACTTCAGGTGCAGATGATCAAAACTTGTCGTCGCGTGAGCCCAAATCAGCTTCACGCGGCGTGAACATTGTGAAAGTTGATGCCGAATTATGCTCACGCACTGTCTGAACCACCGCTCGCCGGAACTTCGTCGGACCTGACGCACATTTGGATGCCATGCGATGCAAAGCAATCCATGGAACGCAATGTAGTGGAACGCAATGCAAAGCAGCGCAATGCGTCATGAATGCTGTTTAGATATCGCCTCAGCTATCGCCATACCTGTGTACAGATAGGCTAAGTTAGGCCTGATTAGACTCTATAGAGTACATTGGTGTGCGTTAGATTGCTTGAACTAAACCAGGCTGGATAAAGATAGATTCGATTGCATTGGGTCAGCCTAGAAAGGATAGCTGGGTTGCATTTGATTGGATTCGATCAGATTATATGGACAGCCAAACCAGACCAGGTTGACCTGCACCCATTCCATTTCCGTGACATTGCACCCATGAAATTGTATTGCAAGCCACAACTTTGCCAGAATCACGTACACCAAAGCCTCTCTGGCAATTTAACAGTTTGCTCTGGAGAATCACCATTTTTCATAGGCAAATAATCTGTATATAATCTATGTCACATATGTCATTCTATTTCTATGAGCCATGGCTTCCATTCCGTTAAAATGACCAGAACGGTGGCACCATCGCCTTGTGAGGACAGGTGACCTTCATCGGACCGCGACTGCTTGGGAGGCGTTTCCAGGTCATCAGCACCTGGAATCATAGGTCGCTCCAATCACAAAGAATCACAAAGCCACTGTTGGATGGATATCTTTAAAAAAAAACTGCCAAAGTTTCAAAGAGTAACATGAGTAACAAAAAATAAGCAAGACGTGTCAGCGCAAGCGAAGCCGTTCAAGAGCAAGTGTAAGCTTCAAAGATCTGCCTCGCTTGCCCAAAGCTTTTGCAATGCAGTTCAATGCTTTGCGGCCAGACATTTGCCTTGCACCATGTCTCATCCACGCAACACTTCCAGAGAGATTGCCAACTATGTTATAGTTGCGTTTCGCATTTTGCAGTCCCTTAATCAGGAGTCCTTAGGTCGTTTTCCACCACCTAAAATGGTGCCTGGATACACCCGAAAATGGGCCCAGCCACCTCGGAGTCCTTGGAGTCATTGGAGTCCTTGGAGTCTGTGGCGTGCGCGGCTCGCTGCTTGTAGCATGCCCTTGCAACACAAAGAAGACATGTGGCGCTACAACCGATTGATTTTGTTCTGAAAAGCACTGGTTGCACACTTTTCTGACTTGGGGAGATGAGTCTGCCAAAAGATGTGTCAAAGTCAAAGCAAGTCACAGTAGACATCACGGATAGAAGTTGTGTGTGGGTCTCATGATGAACACTTCTTGGGGTAGAATCAACAATTCAAATATGGTGCTTTTTTGGTCATGCTCAACGGTGGCCGACTAAGATGCAAGTATCTACTTGCTTGGATAGAGCAGAGTACAAAAACCTTGTGAGTTGTCTAAGTAGATGCGGCTGGAAAGTCTAAATTTGCCACGCATGAAGCTTTCCTTGCAAATTGGATGTGCAGTGACAGCTTGGGATGGACAATGCTGAGCATGGAGGTACACCTTCGTTTTGGTGGATCGAAAAATGGTAGGCTAGTATCGGTATCATATCTATCTGAGTACCAGCATCAGTATCTTCTTGACCCTGTTTCAAGATATTCCCACAAGAGATGGCTAGGCTAGACAAATGACTGAAATGGCCAGATGCTGATGCCTGTGAACATCATTGCAGCAAATCTTATAGTGTGAAACAACGGATCTACGTGGTACCATTGCTATACCATTGTAGCGTTGAATTCATTGTATCTCTATTTTTTCTCAATCATCTTTGCACGTGTTGTCACGTGATATGTGTTCCCTATCCGTGCCTGTAGCTGGACGGGACAGCGGCTTCGCGGCACTTTCATGTTCCACCACCTCACCGAGTGGAAAATCCACGGTGACATCTGTGGAAAAGCACCATCTGCCATCATTTTCCCGGCCTGAGAAGTAGCTCTGGCCGGAGGCTCGAACTGCTTCCACCTGCAGATTGTGGTGCCAGCTACGAGTCGCCAAATTGTTGACTCACAAAACGGTAGATTCCATGAGATGGTACAATTCATGCATCCCGCCTCCTCAAATGGTCATGGCAATACATGTAGTACGCGCCGCGTGGCTGCTCCAATGCTGTTCGCAGGCATGGAAGTCCTCAACACTGAGTCAGACAAAAGGACAGAAGCATAAAAAAATCTGGATTCTTGAGCTGAAGCAGGGCAAAAAGCTTCACCAATCGAAGGTCTCTGAAACCTATCAATGGCCAAGGCACCTTTAATGGTACGACCATGACCTCAGATGCTACTTGTCAACGGCAGTGGGAAAGATCAGATGCTGCCAGGTTGCAGCGGGGACGGCCAAGAGCAGCGTCATGCAACCTGACAATGTGCGAGTCAGCAACGTCACATGACACGATTCATCTCAAACTGCAGACAACTGATATTGAAAACTTGAAAACACATGTGCCATGGTCAAAACATGTCAAAACATATCCTTTGACATAGTATATGGATTCCATTATATGGATGTATGATAGGGGTAATTGTGGTCATGAGGGATTCCTGATCATGGGTAGATTAACCCCAATTAACGAGGGAGTGACCATCCCCTTTAGGGGAGAATTACCTATGTTTTGGCCATGGCACGCATGGAGACCATGCAGCGTCATGCAGCTGAGAGGCCCCATAATGGCAGCAACGGGGCAGACGTTGGCTTTGACGTTGTCAAAATGTTGAGCCCAAACTTTTGATCAGCCCCCATTAGACACAAGAAGTCCACCCCGGGCCACACATGGCCACAGCGTCACATCCAAAATGCAGTCGACTCCACAACCCACAGCAGCTGCATCGGGCGGCGGCCTTGACATTCCTCCAACTGGAGGAGCTTCCTGTGGCTCCACAGCTTTGAGTCGCGGAGATCATCCTTTGCATGTTAAACACTGTTAACAGCGAAAGAAACGTCTTAGTGTCCCACCAACGGATCTTGTTGGAGAGCCGAACCAAAGAAATGCAACCTGTCCCACTTGAGACTCTGTTACTCTTGATGAAAGCGGCTTAGACTGAGAAGGTGCAGGACAGCAAACGCAATTATCCACTAATCGGGCACCATTACTATCCAGTACTGACTAAGTAATGAGATACTTGAGATACTGCATAATCAACCGTCAACCAATGGGTACTGCTGGCTACTGCAAATCGAAACAATTGGGTCTTAAAAATCAACGCCCAGCCTCTGCCATTGAATCACTGGGCGTGACCCAAACGATTTCAAGTGTGTAGGCAATAGAAGCTGAGGCTTGCTTGAATTTGGTGCATGACTATGTTGCACATATTCATATTGGCTTCCCAACTCTACCCTTGAATGTCATTGATCTACATGTATCTGACACAAGGCACAAAGGATTGAGCCAACAATTCAAAGGTCGCAAATGTCAACTGCCAATTGGGGTTAGAACATTGCCTGGCAAATGAAACAACGGGCGTGTTCTAAATGGTACTTGCACAGCAAACTCTGAGTCCTAGAAAACTGTATGAAGGCCAAACTCGTTTTATTTGCTCGCTTCCGAAGTTCGCACGGAACCTGCCGGGTTCAGTGCCATTTTGCTGTTGTGGCGTCAAAAAAATGCCAATGCCACAGAGCTGTCCCTTGTTTGTTCTTGGTTGCCCGGCTACAGAAAGATTCTGCAGTCTCCAACCATTCCTCGGAATGCGAACCAAATCCAAAGCAGGGAAATAGGGCAGACAAGCGCAGTTCTGGGCTGTGCAGCCCTGTTGTTCACCTGCCCGTGAGAGACGTCCTTTTTGATCTAGTATTTTTACGTATTCTTGATGAAGATCATTGTAGCAACAAGAGGAAAATCAGCAACACCCAACGTTTTTGAGGGTCTTGCTGAAACACGAGCAACATCATCAGCCAGTCCTCGCAAGCCTCATATGCACACAAACTTCATTTGCATAGAAATCTGCGTGTCTAGGGCGTTATCTCTTTTTGATCCTTCGCAATCTAGTAATTTGAGCTCCGAATGCTTTTCAGAGCAGCTCTGAGGCGCTAACTGTCACCATGCAGCTCAGCTGCTCTGTCTTCTAAGCCTCTGAAAACACTCTGGAACATCGTGCAAAAGAAGCAGAATCCGGTAAGCGCGAAGTTCCAAATTGGGAGTCCGAAATATCTAGCGGCTCTAGCGCAAAAGGTTCTCAGGTCTTGGAACGTTTATAGTAGCCATGAGTTTTTCTTCCAAAACCACAGTGGTACAAGGTGGTACATTCCCAGGCCAATAGCAGCCACATGCTACTAAGGAAATTTTGACTCTCGACCCAGTTACTACCAACTACCAACTGCCAAGTTTCAAAGAATCTATATAGTATTATAATAATAGTGCTTCCTGAGACCTTCACGCTGTTTTACAGCATCTGGCAGCCGATCTTTGACCTGCAAACTCACAGCCACGAGACCACGAGACCAGCATCAACAGCTCAAAGGTGTGCTATCCCCTCCATCTTCTCTGTCGATTCTCCATCGTATAAAGACGCTGCTGTGTGGCATATCTCTCCAATCTTCTCCAATCCCAAAAGGAGCATTTGAATCATTTGAAGAGAACTGTGATAGAAAAGTGACAGAACACTTATCGAAATTCCGAGAGATTCAATCCACGTCTCTACCCTCGGCTCCTTCTGTAGACGTCCGTGGAGTGTTCGCAATGCATCGCAATATCGGGGCATGAGCTTCCAGGCAGCCTGCACAGGACTCTAATCTAAGTGGAGCTTGACTGCTTTTACCGGCTTACCTTGGAAACTTGCCTGCCTTGTTGGAAGCAAAATAGATTAAATCAAGAATTCAAGAGGAAGAATTTAAGTCCTCGTCTGCACAACCTTTTTGGCATCATTTACCCGAGGCTGTCATGACCACTGCACAAATCTGGGCATTCGACTGCAGCATGCTCCACCAACACAAAGAAAGCTTTGGAATCCTTCTGCAACGCCTGCAACATACGCTAAGTCCAGACTCTGGGCCTGGTCAACAACAATGTAGCTGCTGAATGGGTGTTCATCCGACCTAATCATAAATGAATCATGGATATGGATGTGTATATTATATATATACATAATCATATAAATGGAAGGCGAGGCTTGTCAAAGAACAGCATGTCGTAGGATGTCCTCCAGCGCAAGAGTTTGAAGTCCCCGCGCATGATGTCGAGCCCAATGTGTCTCCGCTGTGTAAGCCACCATGTGCGGCCTTGGCCCAGGATTGTCCGGCAGGCTCCGCTCGAAGATGCAATTCCAACAAAGTGATAACAGGCAGACCCTATATCCTGGCGAAGTTCTACTGTAGCGTTTCCCGCACACTGTCTCGCCTCGCATGTCTGTCATGTCCAAGCCTCTCGCATTGCACTTTCCACTGCAGCAAGTGCATCTTCCCATCCTCAGGAACCCCAAGCTGACCGGGAAACATCACAATTGTTGTCAGTGCCCTGCTGTGGCAAGCATTGTTTGGCAAGCTCGAACCGACTCAAACTCTTAGGCTGCAGCGGTTGAAGTCTTTGTACACAAAGCCTCAGACGTTCTCCAAGTCAGATGTTGAAAGAGCTTGAAACAAGAATATACTGGCATGTATAATTCATTATGATTGGTCATCTTTGGTATGGTGAACACCGGCCTCAGGAATTGTTGGCACCCCCAATCAGGCACTGACAGGACACAGCTGCGCTCCCTTTTCCAAGCTGATACACCACGTTCTGAATCTAGTTCCGGTACAGGCCGCACCAAGGGACCAGTTGTCTACAAAAAGAAATGTGGAGTCGCTGCTCATTGCCCAATCCAAAGTGAAACTTCGCTGCGGCAGGTGTCGGATCTACCAAGTGCTTGGAATGTCCTTGTCGGGCGGCAACTCACTCATCGTCATCAGGAATTGGATACACCTCATTGGCATCGCTGGAAAGTCATGGAAAGTCTATCATATCTTGCAACGATTCATCCATCGAATCGTTCCCAGCAACCATCACTTCAAACAGCACCAGTGCTGTTCCTTGGACCTGAGCAAACCGACGTATGGGTTGTGGCGGTACAGCTTGCCCTGATTCACATAGTCCCTTGGTTGTTGCACGGTGAATAGCATCACTGTCTTGAACAGCATAACTGCCGGTCACCTATGGATACCAATACCTTCCTTCACCGAGATTCCAAATGTGGTCCCACATGCGGCTCCAGCAATACCTCAGTACTTTCTCGCACCCAGCAGTCGATCTTCCATGATATTTCTGATCTTTGGTCAATCTTCTTACCCGCTGGTAATCAAACATGGCAATGGAAAGTTCCCCCAATTATCGATGACTTTCTGTATTTATAATTATTTATAGGGGAGTTCCCAGCCAGCCATCTTTGATTACTGGAGGGTAATCTAGACCCACGACTTTCAACGCAGCAAATTCTGGGCAACTGACCCACCGATGATGCTTGTCCAAACGATGAAACCGTAGAAGCGAGGCGAACCTCTCCAAGAATCCAGGCAGGTTTTGAAGATTGGAGGGATCCCAGCGGAATTCGTTGGTTTTTTGGACCAAGTCTCTTCGAATTGGCCCTTCCCTTTGCAGTCAATCAGTCTAGGTATACTCTCAGGCTCTCCCTCAAGACCTTTGCAAAGGCTCCTTTTATTGTACCGGGGCATAGTAATTCTGGAACTGGTGTCGCATGAAAATGTTGCATGCTCGTGACACCCATGGTGCAGCCAAAGGCTCTTTTCAAGAAGATCTCATAGATGCGTGTGGAGTTGAATGCGCGGAAGAACCAATCCATGTTGTCCTGAAAGGGGCAAGAATCCCATCAGTCGTTTCCGGCTCATGTCAACACCCGCGTCCACATCTGCCAAAAGCAATTTCAACATATCCCTCACTTTCGTCATCTGTCCGCATTATTCCTGACATGGGTGTGTCTGAAACATTCCAAATTAACGAATTGATCATCTTCCCTATTGAAATGGCCATAGATATCATCAATTTGGCCCTAAATTTCAATTTTTCAGGTCCACACCCACATATATCAAATATCATATTGTGGTTGAATGATATCCCTTTCTATCCCCATGAAACTGGGTATATCCCTACCATAACTATTAATTGAATATCATTAATATCGTTAAATTAGGGCCTTAGGGATTATATTCATTTATATTCCCATAAAAACTGCTAAAGAACCCATAAAACACCAGGGGCTTTGGATTCGTCTCCAGTCCTGCCCCTCGCGTCGGTTTGCAGACCATCGCTCGATCCAGGCGGGCTCATGATCCTAGCTGTAGAGAGGTGCCACCGACAGTGGAATTCTGATGATTTATGGCCACCCAAGGATGAAAAAGGTATATGGAAAAAACATGGAAAAATACTGGAAAATTGCACTTTTTATTGGAAAATTTATGAAACATTATGAGAACCCATTGGATTTGTGGCAAAAAAAGATAAAGTATGACTTTGAGGACAACGGCGCCACCACCGCGTTTAACAATGGCTTCGAGGTCACGATGTAAATGATCCATAATGATCCTATCAACGGATCCCCAAGCCTTAGGAGAGCCAAAGCCACCACCGCTGAACCTCCACATCGCACAAATCAATGCCGATGACAAGGACCACTAAAAGGCTGCAGAAAAAACATGTTTTCCCTAAAAAGAAACGGTTCAGCAACACAACAAACCCACAATGGTACAGACCTATAGACCCTGAGGAAACACCAGCCTTGTTTTGCTGCGCAGGAGCGCGGATCGCAGCAGTCTTGAGCGAGACAGCATTGTCCGCAAAGGGGCCCCTTAGTGGCCACGTTTCTATCCGTCAATCTAACATCCACATGCTAAACAGGTTTGTACATATAACTATATATGATATATAAATAAAAATAATTATATATGATATATATATATAATGATACAAGATATCTATATATATATAATGAAACAAGATATATATATATAATGAATATTTGATATATATATATATAGAGATATAATGAATAATTATATGATATATATACATATATATATATATGTATAATGAATATTTGATATAATTTATATATATATACAAATATATATTGAATATATGATATATATATATATACAATTCTGGTCGCTTCGCGACGACAACCGCCCGCACCAGAGTGTTAGCCCCAAAGTTCCAATAAAACCGTATATGCTCTATGTTGGGCCTTTGTAGGGCTCATGTTGGGGGTATGTTGGGCACATGTTGGCTCTATGTTGGCTCTATGTTGGGCCGTGTTGGGCCCATGTTCGGCCATCTTCAGCCTATGTTGCGCCCATTTTGGGCCTATTGGCCCCATGTTGTGCCGAGTTAGGATCATGTTGAGCCTATGTTGGGCCCATGTTGGGGGCCATGTTGAGCCCAAGTTTGGCAACTTAGCCGATTTTAGGTCCCTTGAAAAAACGTGGAAAAACACAGGATTCTAGAGCAATAAAGGGCCACCCCCAAACTAAAGCTTAATAGCTATTGCAATTAGTTAATGCGTGCACACAAAAATAAAAGCCTTGGCACCTTCCGTGCGGGCAGATTATATGAATATATGTAAAAATATGTAAATATATTCACGTCGCTTCGCGACGGCAACCGCCCGCACCGATAGAGAGATAGACCGATAGATAGATAGAGAGATATATCTATATATATATAAAGATCATATATGTACATATCGAGTGAACGGTCCACACTGTTAATGATGTCAGCCATTGTTCTCTTCTACTGCCATTGTTCTCTTCTATTGCCGTCGCTCCGCGACAAGAACCCCTGTGCGGCCGCCACGGTTTGAACGATGTTGTTCTCACACCTTCGCGACCGCTCGTAACTGCCAATGATGTTGGCCATTGAGACCAAAAACATCCGAAAGTACTGATTGTCGGAAAAAAAAACGCGAAGAATTTGATAGCCATGTATAGCGGACCAACGCAGTTCAAAAAATAACGAAAAACATGAAAAAACGGCGAAATTGCTGTTATTTACAATGTTTTTGCGCGGTGAGAAGCAGAAACCACTGCAAATACCATGGTTTTTGAGGGTCAGGTGGCCAAAAACACTGTAATTTACAGTGTTTTTTTAACCAACGTCAAAAAACACTGGTATTTACGATGTTTTCATTCACACCGTAACATAAAACAGCGTAATTTACGAGGTTTTTGGAAGTTTTGAAGCTAGCCGTCAAGCATGCAGAAAACAGAAAAACACTGTAAAAACCAGTGTTTCTGCTATCACAAAACGACGAAAATCAGTCCGAAAACGGGTCCAAAAACTCAAAAATCCGCCTCCGGGCCAGGCCACCTGCGGAACCGCAAAAAAAGATGTTGCAAACCAAAAAATTGAGGTCAAAAAGTTGAAAAACACGGGTTTTTTTCACTTTTCGCTTGCCGATTTTGGACGGGCGCGTTCACGAACAGGTGTCTTCCGTACTGTTTTTTACAGTGTTTTTTGAAGGCGAGCGTCACGACCTATCAAAAACAGGAGGTTTTGGCCGAAAAATGCCCCCCCCCCCCAGGTAAACCTGTAACCTTTTACGAGTGCCATCCGGACGATCACGCCCCAGCACCTTCGGTGCGGGCGGATTTGTATGTATATATATATATATATATATGAATCATAGTAAATCCAAAGATTTCCAAAGATCCTCTGAGATTCTTGCAATTGGCCTCAAAGCTCAGGACCTGTCCAAAGACTCATGGAAGAAGTAGCCAAACTGTCGCACCATCGCACCCTCGAAGCATGATGTCTTCAACGTCTTCCATGCTAAGCCCTGCACCGCCAAAGCCGCGCACACTTGAGCTACAGAGCCCAAATGGAGCAGCGTTCATCCATGCAAGACATGCGCCTATCCCATGGTAGAACTTTTGCAGAAAACCCTAGAGACTCTAGAGAGATGCCAGAGTATGATTGTTAGCAGTATCCAGTGTGAAAGCAGTGGCGCCAAAGAGCAGGATATGTCAGTGATTTCATCAAGTTTCTGGAGTCGGGGGCCAGGAAGACTTTGCTCATCCGGATTGCTACTTAATTATGCACCCAACTTGCTGGTTGTTTCTTCCACTGAGGAGGAAACATGAGGGTTTACCATTGTGGTGCCGCATCTTGCAGAGACCTGAAGTCGAAACCAGCACTCAAAACTAAATCAAAATCGCCAAATGGGTGGCCACCAGTGCTTCAAATAAAGCATCTTGGATGGGACTGAAAGTCTTCCATTCCTTGCTCGAGCCTGCATGAGCTCTCTTCATGGCATCAGCCAGGGGTGCCTCCTGAATGCGCCAGACTTGGTTTGGATGGTTTGGATCAGGGGACTTGGTGCTACAAAGTTGCCAGCTTTTTATATATCTGAGTGAACATTGTTGAAACATTTGTCGTCGTCAAGCACTAAACTGACCAACAACATTCCCAGTCCGCGGGGCCGATTGCCATGTGATCTTGCAGAAGAGCTTCGACTTTGGCACAAGCCTCGGCCAAAGGAGCCCAAAAAACGGCAACCTATGCAACTTTGCAACGTTGACCATGCAAATGTCTACAAAAGAAATTCAAAGAACCTCTGAACCTCTGGATTTTGTCACGGCTGGAGAACCTCGAAGGGCTCTTCGCAACGGTCGCACTCGCAGGGGAAGCCAAATTGTCCTTGGATGAAGACATTTCGCCTCACAGCACACCGTGGGACACGACGAGCATATTCTCATTGGTTTCAGGAAAATACCAAGTTTTGGGGGTTGGCTTCAACCATTCGGAATTTTAAGTATCGCACAGATCTTTGGGGAGCAGAATGAGCTCGTCAGAATAATGGATACTGGCAAGCTGATTCCAAGCTGATTCCAATTGGTCCAAGTTCAAGAGTGCAGCTTGCTGATGCACAACTCGGAGATGCAAGTCTAATCGTCGCCAGGGATTCGTCAGCTCCGCACCCTGCGAACTGAACAACAAACACCAGGACCACCAGGAAAGGCTTAAAGGATGGGAACTTTTTGGAGCATCTTAAAAACAAATTTGATTCTCACAGCACAACTGATGGAGCAACAAATTTGCTTGTTACTGATCTATGAGCAGTACATCAAAGTGCCTTCTGGATTGGGGAGATTGCGAGAACATGAGACAGTCCACTGGGCCTGATGTGTTTGGCGAACGAAGCCAAACAATGTCTTGATCAAAAACAATACTCTCCAACACAGTGTCCCGTATGTCATGTGTTCTGACTTCGCCAATTTATATTTGAAGTCCACCGTGCAAATGCTTCACAGATATTAACTTCGTGTAAAAGATGGTGTCGAGCTTGTCGCTTAGAAGACCAAGTGCGAAACCTTCCAAAGTGCCAAACCTTCTACATGTGCCTAATCTAAGGATAGAGCTGACGGTAGACGGCACAATTCGGCCTACGTCCAGGCCAATTGGACATGTCGCCCGGATTGTGCATGATGGTCCCAGGTACGTGGTTCTGTGAGTTGTATGTTGGCTTAAAGCTTCAAAACCATGCGAAGGTCGCGACAGATGCGGGTTCCCCTGTCACTTGGAATGACCCCTATGCCATGTGTGTCATGGAGTCCCAACAGGTTGGCAAATCTACTGAGCAACTGGCCAACAAGAATGATTGAACACAGAAAGCCTCACAGGTTCTGCATGCACTAGCAAGATCATCCTAGAACTATGAAAGCAAATTAAATGAACAAAGCAGCAATCAGCAAGCAAACACACTTGCCTTCGAAACAGAAATGATGCTTCAGCTTCAATCCTGTGTCAACAAAATCAAAAACAAGACTTGTTCCCAACACTAGGGAATCTGGGATTCAGTAGTCCTGAGGCACACCTACTCTGAGTCGCATCAAGATACTACAGTCAGTATGAGTTCAGGATGCATAGTTTCAGCACATCTTCACTCCATGAGTCATCAAACATCATGAGACACAATCGAGACACAATCCAGACACTATCCTCATGACTTCAACAACCGACGACAACCAAGCTACGACCAAGCTGCTAACCCTTCTGCACTCGACGTCTGGAAGCCGTTGTTCCGTGCTGCTGCGAGCCTTGGGGACAGCAGGTTCGAAGGTTCCAATGCTGTGATCGAAAGCCGCCAGGTTCCCGAACGCATTTGCAACTTTGTCCTGGCAGTTCAGAACTCTGCAAGCACTGCAAGATACTGCAAGAATATGAAACCTTTCTGCAGTTTTCTGCGCATCGAGTCTATCCTTGGAACATCCAGGAACACCCGCAAGCAAGCGAAAGGCCTGTGCAGCGCCATAAGTGCAATAAGCCCGAATAAGGCCGTTTGAATCCGTTTGAGGCTTGGGAGATCTTAGGAGCGTGCACCAGACGAATTGGCCAAGGTCCCAGCATCAGCATCTGCTGCATCAGTTACATCGCCAGAGGAACTTCTTAGTTCGAATCCTTCCTCTTCAGCACTGAGGACGTGGAGAGCCGAAAGAGCATCAACATCCTCCTCTTCTGCATCAAAGATATACGGCTCCTGGAACACTGCAGAGCAAGGCAAACCATCACAGTGGCCAGGGCGTTAGCTGGTAGCGGCATCGAGGAGGAGGATTATCCTATAGTGTTTCTTGGGCATTGATGAAGTTTATTGTTATCTTCTTGACCATCTGCAGAGAACAAGTGCGCTGCTACAGTCGCCAACAGGGTCCGCTGAATGCTGGCTCCTCTCGTAAGAGAAGCTCTCCTGCAGAAATACTCCTGGTAAGAATTGATGTCCAAACAATTTCAGGAGGGAAGTCTGAAAATGTGTTTCATGGTGTTTCACTCTTTCTACTAAGAGTTCCTTTACGAGGTTTGCAACTTATGCATGATTCCCAATAAATACTTGTGGGCAGCAACTTCACGACTCCTTGTTGCATAGTATCCTCGACCCTTCTCTCCGCCTGGTACGAAGGACTTAACATTTCCAAATGGCACAAGCACAAAAAGAATCTGAGTTGATCATATGATATCAGAAAGTCAAGGGGAATTCGACCGCGAAGCGTTCAACAGCGACCTTCGTCAATGACCTTTAGCTTCTCGCTGAGGTAGCTGGGCAGAGAGGGCCTGATCAAAGGCCAAATAGCTTTCCGTAAATTTCCAGGTCTGTATCAATCATATCTATCAATTTAACGAATAAATCAATGTGCTATAGCCATCAACTCTGAGTAGTTGTTCAATGATCTCTGACAAGTGTCGAGGCTCTCACGTGTCAGGAGCAATGCCAGCAGCAGCTTTGCGCATCTGCGAATGCACCTATGAAGCTCACTGTCTAAATTTCATGTTGTTTGACCCGAGGGAACGCGTGGAACACCATGGGTCAAGAGTTTCATTCACCTGTGGGATCCTGTCAGTGTGTTGACCTACGATGAAATGCTATCAAGGCACCAGCACAGCTAGCCTGCAGCAAAGCAAACTTCGGAGGGACTGGTTCGCTCTGCATTTGTGGAATATGCATGGAGAATTCCCACTGAGGTTCTGATCAGTGAGGAATTGTATAATTGTAATGCCTTTAGGTTTTGAAAAAGGACAACCACAATTCGATAGGAAAATCGCTGACTGAAAAAAGAAAGACCGAGTGGATCTGCATAACTCTACAGCTGCTCAGCTGCTGCTGCTGAAAATGGTAAACACTGGATTGAGCTCCCTGAGCCGCCTGACCCCAGCATGTCAGGCGATCAATATTCAGAGCTCTTCGCAACTCCAAGATTCAGTGCAGATGGTGCGCACGCGTTGCTTGAGTGTGGTTGGCGATTTCATGAAAGTTCCCTGTCACGCTCCCCGCGTGGATGAATGAATAGGCAGTTTTTTGGGGGGGATGGAAATGGCTTTCTTTTGACCTTCCGAAGAGAAGAAGGGAGTGCGCCATTCATTGACTTGGGTTCACGCCCTCTTGTGGTGATTCAGGATACGATTCCTCTTTGCATGGTTTCCGCTTGCAAGGTTTTCCTTTTGAGTTCCAGCTTGGGAATCATTTTGATTCCAATTTTGAGCCTCAAGCTGCTTAATTTGGCTCTTGACCTTCCGAAGAGAAGGGGTAGCGCCGGATGCGCGTGCTTTTGAGTTTCAGGTCATGATCTGCTTTATTTGGATGCTTTTCTGGTTTCTCGATGAAGCTTTCTACTGGCCAGGGAATCGGTCTGATCCCAAGTTTCGTACGGATGTGATGACGGTCAACTTTTGACCTGCTGAAGTGACTGGGGTGAACTTTGCCTTCTGCGTTTGCAATGCCCTTCCTGGCGATGTTCAGTCTCTGCATTCTCTGCGTCCTGTTGATGCCTCTCTTGTTTTCAGGAAGCTTGCTGCGTGTTGACCAGAGGATCGACCTGATTCCAAAGTTTGTGGTGACTATCTCATCATGGCGGTCTTCGTTGTCAGGTTTTTACCAGGGGTGTGTGAAAACCCATGTTCGGTTGCGCACACCTTCAACAACAAAATAATGGTAATTAATAATAATCATCATCATCATCATCAACGACAATTCGATAGAACCAGGCAATTTCAATGATTCTGGGATCTGAAGCATAGGATCGTCGTACCAGAAGTATACCCACCATATCCTACCATGTAAGACCATATAGTGATCTCTTGATTGGCTATGGCTCCGAAATTAAAAGCCCGTGGGACCATGGATGTTGATTGTTAGTAACAACCATCCTTTTTTGGGGGGTGCCCAATGACTTGACCCATGCAGCACTGGTCATGGCCTGGCTGGGCTCATCTCTGGTTGAGCCTTGCAAGAGACAAACCGGTGGCACTCGTAGGACATGTCTCTCTAAAGACATCGCCCCACATTTCCAAGAGTTTGTGTTCCCTTGTGCCCATGTGGCAAGATCAAATTGGTCTGGCCAAAGTTCAAACAACATCATCAACTCGTGCCTTGATCGGGTCCAGGACAGATACCGCGAAGGCCTCCAACCTTCGCAACAATTTGCTGGGAAGAGACCACAAGCAGCAGCTGACATCACAGTTGCTGATCACACATGGGTTTGCCTGAAAATAGGCATATCATGGAATACCCTCAGTTTTGGCATATTATATGGCTATCTAATAGGGAAAATTTATGATTATATATACAACTATCATAATCTATCATAGAACTGCAACTTCCGCAATGTTACTGCAGCTTTTTCAACGCGTCTCAAGAGTCTTCTGTCACACCAAACGCTTATTCCGAATGTGTTGACACTGCAGATTTTAGCAGTACAGCAACGTGAAGCGACGTCCAGAAGGCCAGAAGGCCAGAAGGCCAGAAGGCCAGAAGGCGAAGAATCGATCTGTTGAGGACTCTCAGACAAGAAGGGCCAGCACTCATAAGTCTTGCAGCAAGTCTTGTTGTGAAGAGCCAAGGAAATTGACATGGATTGACAAACAACGGTCATCTTAAGAAAACAACGGTCAAATCCTTGGGTTGGCGTAGCTCTTCATGGCAAAACATCGTCACTATCAGAGTCCCATCATAAGTTAGGTTTAAGATTGTTTAAGCAGACGCTTATCAAATCACAACGGGTCAGAGCTCGTGAGGATATCTCATCTGACAAGCTTGTCATGACAGTCCTCCATTCAAAGGAATACGCGGCAGCCAGGGACTTACTGAGCAAGGGCCCAGCAAAAACCCACGGCGCCAAAGACAATTACAACGGAGGGAACGTTGACCTGCGGCACAAATATGACTCAAGCGATGATTTCCAATGTGGTGCACCAGTGATCCTGTTGACACCGATTCCTGTTTCCAAAATTTAAGAGCCCCAAACAAAAGTGCGAATCTCAATCCCACAAATGGAGAGACGCCGCCAAATTTCCAGGGAAGGTGGCAGAATTTCAACCCTCGAGCCTTGCATAGTTCAATCAAATAGTAGGCCAAAACGACAAGTGCTCTGCTACCAGCTTGCCATGGACTTCTCTCCTGGCCGGTCTTCCAAGCTTCTGAAGGTTGAGAAAACATGTTCGAATTGATATCCGGACTCAGCAGGAAAACCATATGATGAAATCATCACTTAAACACCTTCCAGACACTAGAGGTTGACTATTCGACTTGATCAAACCAGTGTGTTTTCTCTGGAACAATTCGTCCCTGCCAACAACAAGCTGCCTGAAGCGTGTCGTACACCACGAACATCGTAGGCACAAGAAGACCAACTGCAGCAGCATTAAGACCTCCAAGAGAACCATGAACTATCGGTTGGTGAAGAAAGTATAGCCCACTATATAATCAACCGACAGGGGTTCCAGCAGCCCCTGCTCAGACGACACAGGTAATATGGCAAAGTTGGTACAGTCTGCCTGGAAGAGCATGTTGATACAAACGTTGCTTTCGCAGTTCCTGACTCTGCAAAACACACAACCCAGTCGACACAGTCGACACAATGTCTGCCAAAAAGACTGGGCTATGTCTGGCTTTTGTACGCCGCATGTTTCATAGATGAGCAGCATCCCAGAGAGTGTAGGCGCCAAAGATCAGGGTAATGCCGGGAAGCATTAGCCCTAGCAATCAGCTAGGCTTCAAACAGTTGTAGAATCTAAACTGTTCTGCAGCATGTTGGGGGTCTTAGTCGGCTAGGTCGCCTCTCAATGCTTATTGCAAACAAGTTGTGTGCTCACGCATGATGAGACATCTGACAATGCAATGCCAGTCACACACCTGCCCAGCAAACTGCAATGCCCGCAAGCCAGTTCCATCCAGCATTGAAGGCAAGCTGAATGCCAAGAAAGCCTTTGATTTCTCACCAGAGTGGGTGAGAGCACAAAAAATGTCAAGCCAAGGGGCAAGTTCACCGTCCAAAATTTTGATGGATCAACACCCATCAAACCATATTTGTGTGTTATATTGTGTTATTCCCATCCATAAATCCCAGCTATTTTGGTGTGAACACCAGGGGCACAGGTGAGCTGAGCCATCCTCATTTGAACAAGTTGCAAGAAATGTTGAAGACGGGCCCAGGCATCATTTCCGCGAAGGAGATCCCAGCCAGGAAAATTGTGGGAGAGATCCACTGTGGTGTGAGGAAGGTCATGAGCATCGGGAGGACGACGGGGCCTCCACCCCACACAAACATACCTGGCAGTTGTCAGAGTCAAATAAATGGGTGTGTCTGAATATGGGGTATGCCCCCAAATTTGATGGTTGATCATGCTTGATCATGGTGGATCTTCATTGCGCAAAAAAAGAGTGCAACTTTGCGGGGCATCCCGCAGACCCCATTTTCAGACGCACCCAAATTAATAGTACCTGCCTGCAGTCAGGAATGGCATGATCCATCCATGATCAAATGTGTCTTTCCAAACGGTGAATGCAGCAACTCCCACATACCTTGCAGCAAAGGCCACCATGGACGAAATCCCAAGAACACAGGAACAGCCACTAGGTAGAAAAAATTTGAACACTACAGCCCCGTAAGTGTTGACTGGCTGGCATTTGAATAGCTGAGACTTCAGTCAAGTCGCAGCAGGAAAATACAAATCGCTAACCACACAGGCATTCCTGCTGGCTTCAGGGTCAAACTGGTCAATATTTGCATGTTGCCATGTCCTATGGTCCTATGCTGGCTGCATTCTGTCCTGATTTGCCAGTATCACTGGCATGTTTCACCTCCGCATCTGGAGCAACCTAGAGATTTTGTGGTCACTCAACTGCAAAAACTCAACAGTGCCAGCCCAAGCGCGACAGTGGTCTGCTGAGCAGCTGGAAGGAGGATCGTGATGAGCCCGCCCAAGAAAATCAAGCTTGGATTTAGCCAAGCAGGTGCAGGATGCACCAGTAAACAAATAGCTCCAGTGCCAAAGCATATCTCAGTGTCGAGAAACGCGTAACCCTGTGGCTGGACAGCTTCGCATGAGCTCAATACTTGATTTCAGTTCTAGCTCGATAAGTGAAAAAATGTTAGCTAGGGCATCAGAAAGCTTGCGATATGCACTTCAACCGAGTATCTGCACCAAGGGTCACAACATTCCCAGCTTCCATCACCTGCTTCTTGATCAATCCGCTAATGGCAATGAAGACCAGCCTCAAAGCTCCGAAAATCGCCGGACTCTGAGCTGCGAACATTGCGAACCCACCAAGTCTTCACTCACGACTGAAACGACTGAAGGGCGTACGCTACTCCCACTGCACTGCAAGCAATGGCCTGGTCGCAGATCAACAACGCAGCAAGCTGAGCATGCCATAACTGCCATAACCAAAACAACGTCAGCTTCTTTGCCACTTCCGGAGGATGCAAATCTGGATTCAATGTAGACTTCGAATGTCAAAGTTAACACACTTGAAAGCATCTGTGAGTCCCAATTGATGGATATGATATACTTGTCTAATCTGGTAATATCTTATAATATCTGACATCTGATATACATAGTGGATTTTATGAATTTCTCCATAAAATTGCCAAAGTTGCGACGGCATTCGCAGGTGAAGCTGGCTCTTCAATTTGCTTCGATAATGAGGACGACACCTTGGCTCTGTCCACAACACTACGTGCAATGCTTGGTGAGCACTTGAGGCTGGGACAAAGCCAAGCAGTGAAAGGCTAATCCTTCAGCAGAAAACACCATTGCGACATGTTGCGACATGTTGCGACATGTTGCGAGGGGATGCGACATATTGCGGCATTTAGACAATGACAAGTATGTGCCTTCGGGAAGTGAGAATCGAATCCACCTTCTTGCAATCAAGCATCGCACCCGGAATAATGAAGAAAGCTCCAGCAAGCAAGCCTCCTACAACTCCGCCTGGGAAGCTTAGCTTGAATGCAAAGGTGCCAGAACGCACAAACGGTTTGGAGTCAAAGCAAATCTAGTAATATCTGGTATACATTGTGTATATATATATATTAATGTGCAGTGCATGTGTATCATCATCATCATCATCATCATCATCATCATCATCATCATCATAAATATATGTACATATCTATATGTATACATACAAAAGAGATATATATATATATATCCGCTATATGTATAGGCTTCATGTCGGAGTTTGTGTCGCAACTCCGCACCTTGGGTGATACCAAGCGCGAAGGCCACCTGTGTGCTTGACGGTCCCGGAAGGCAATTCGCCATAGCAAACAGCTCCGCAAATCTCTCGCTGGAAAGCCATTGATACCTCCAAACAGTCCCAAACTCAATGTGGTTTCCTTGTAAAAACACAATGGAAACCCAGTTGCAGGGACCCCAAAGTATAAGTTGGTTTACAACCCCCATGACCAAAAAAAACTGAGTTGTTGAAATTGGAATCATAAACCAACTTACGAGCGCTAGACCTTTCACACCCTTTTAACATGAAGTCACCCCACCGCAAGGCACAAAGCCTTCAACAAAGGATGATGTACAACAACATCTGTCTGGCATCAACTTCCCCACGGCACAAAGGGTGTGGGACGACTTCCCACGACATGAGACACGTGGGGTCTAATACCCTGTAGCTAACATATAATGGGACACCACCCTGTGCGAAGCCAGTTCTGCATAGCCAGTTCTGCATGTCATTCTGCGTGCCATTCTGCTTAGGTGCTTCTCAACGAAGCGCGACCGGAACATGCTGATGTGAACTGGCGGACCACCAAAGGCTGTCGCCCCCAAGACCTGAAGTCAGAAAACAAGACAACATCTGCAGATTGCATGAAGGGTCTAGTGAATACCTGTTTAGAGATGCAAGCATACATATATATATATATTAGATATATATTAGATATATATTAGGTGTATATATATATTTTATATATATACATATTATATATATACATATTATATATATATATATTAGATATATATATATATTAGATATATTAGATATATTAGATATATTATATATAGATATTATATATAGATAAAAGGTTCTCAATGGATTACTTTGTACTGCAGTACAGTGAAGTATAAATTTCAAGGTAGAGATATGACGGCATGGAAGACAAAAGGTCAGTCGCGGCAGCAAAGCCCAAGAGGGCATGGAGGACCAGCACAAAACAGGCACAACTAAGCAACCCGTCTGATGAATGGTACATCAATGGAAATCATGCTCAATGTTTGATTCCCGGAATATGCCACGACTCTACTCTGAGTCACTGGCCAAAAAGTTCCATGTCAAAGTTGCAAGTGATGGCGCACCAGAGGGCAAGAGTGTTTCCTTGCACTTCATTCCACAAGGTATTGACAGAGAAACTCAATTCAGCGCTCGGTCTCGGATATGCAATGACAAACGCTGAGAAGCTGAAGGTTGGTTCCCATCTCTTCCTAAATGGCCATGGGTCACAACCGTGGTATCCTGGTGAACACCAAAATGGTTGGGAAATGGATGGTCATCCCAAAGAAATATGATATAAAGATATATAAAGCCCTGTGGACACCAAGGTTCTTTCATGGCTTGAAACCAGGCACCCAGGATTTCTTGAGCCCAAACCACAGCTGCAGAACGAAGATATCCACATCCTTGAGGTCCTACGATATTCCTACGATATTCCTACGATAGTTAATCTGATAATCCCCAACTATCTTGGGTTGTATAACCATGCATACCTCCCTATGATCAACCAACAAGGGGCTTAGCAGCCACTGCTTAAATGGCTCCCGCAAATGGCCTCCTCCAACCCGCCAAATCAGCTTGTCGCAAGCGTTCCATGGCTCCTTTGACCTGCCAGTACCGTGGTGAACAAAATCGGAGAGTTGGTGATGCTTTTTGTTCAGATATATGTGTCTGAGTATGTGTATGTATATACATATATATATATACACATACATAAATTACATTACATTACCTTACCTTACCTTACCGTACCATACATACATACATACATTACATATATACTGTATACATATACACTATGACTATTCATACATGCATGTATTTATGTATACAATAACATATATATATATATATACATATATATATACATATGTATATATATACATATGCATTATGATGTATATAGGTGTATATATATAGTCTATGTTCACATATATATATACACATAGTGTATGCATGTGTATGCATGTATGTATACATCTATTAATACGCAGAGAGAGATATATATATATTATATTATTTATATATATATATATGCGTATATATAGACAGTTCAATGTGGGATGTTGTTTCGCTCAGAGTTTACCTACAGCCTGATTCACAGCTCCCAGCTTCTCACCGAGTGACTGGATGGCGTCTCACGACGCTCTCGCCGTACTCCAAACCTAGATGCGCCGAGTACGGGAGCCGTTCGGCCCTCCAAAAAGAAAGACTGAGCTCCTGGCGCTTCCTCACGCACTTCAGGAAGTTTTCTAAAGCAGCCACTTCGCCTTAAGACTTGATAGGTCCGATAGGTGTGATGGTTGACCAATAGAGAAAATATGAGAAGCATTAGCCAATTACACTGGCAAGACTCCATCACAAACATGTAACAGCTGTAGTATTCTGGAAATCGTCTACTGTCTGCAATTCAAGAGGCTACATCGGGGTCTGGCGAGTCTCGTGACAGAAATGTGTTCAAAAAGTGCTTTGAGCTACATGGCTCTGACTTGAGCTACACAATGACCATCAGCTTGAGGTAAGAACACGTGTGCGACCTCCAGCGTATTCCCAGGCTGCATACTGTTTCACTGGGACAGCATGCCAATGACACAGTGACGTGATGTTTTGATACCTTGATACTTGGCTGAGTTTGTTGCAGAGGGAAGTGGGCGCAGCTATCTGCTGCTTCGAGGTTCAAGTTCACTCGCTCCTGAAAAATTGCTTAGAACAGCTTAGACAATCCTGTCAGAGGAATCTATCCACATCGTAGACATCCCAGCCTCTGGGCTGGCTGCCTCTGCTCGAAAGTGCGAGAGAAGCCGTCGTAGCGATTGCGTTGAGGATAGGCAGACAATAGATCCATTGCCTTCGCCGGAAGACTGGAAGTTCAAGTCAGTTCTAGCATCTCTATCATTTCTATCATTCTCTATCTATGAGAAGCAGTGCTAACAAAAGTCTCCACATAGTGTTGCAAAATTCGGCCTGGCCCATCCCATGGCTCAAGCCTGCAGCTGTACTGATAGTCTGGCTCAGTCTCCACGAAATTGGGTGAATCCAATTGAACCAGCCAAAACATCCCAAAAATGGCAATTGTGATTGGTCCAAATGGGTCCAAATGGGTCCAAATGATATTATGGTCATCCAATTTGGGGGTATTGAGTCTTATGGAAGCTGCAAGGCCGAGCGCAGATCAACACCTGCTGTTCGAGCCTCAGCTCTGTGCAGCACACCTCCTGGGCTTCCTCAATGAAGCCATACGTGGCGAAGAATCCCTGGATGCCCAAGGAGCTGCAAATGAAGCCAGCAAGGAACTCACGGAATATGCGGGCAATGCTGCCATGTTAAGAATCATTAGATCATAAGTGAATCATACGTATCAAAAATGTGTTGCCTCATGGTGGTCTTTACTGTAGTTTCTACATTGTCACAGAAGCACCACTCTTCCTTTGACTTGGAGACATGGGCCTGTGCAGAGCCTGCACGTCTGTAGCTAATGCGCAATTCCTCAGCACATGCAAGAGACAATGGGCAAAGCCAAGAGTTACATTGTTCTGACGAACATTTAGCATCATGTAGAATTGTATAAATATTCAGCATCATTTAGCCATATCTTTGCTGTTAAAATTGCGCATGTAGCCGTAGCCATCGTTGTGGCATGAGACAGTCATGCCCTGTCACCCACGTTCTGCTTTGGCAGTGCCTGAGGCTTCTGCGGAACCTGCTGCTACATTGCAAAGTGTATGAGCCTCAACGTAGGAGCTGGTGTCCTTGCCAGGGGAGGACAGCCTTCGTCAGGAGTGCTTGATATGCCAATGCCAATGGCTTCAATGAAGGGATTGATTGGTGAGGGTTTTGTAATGGCCAGTATGGTGCCCCTCCTATGAACTTCCTCTTCGGACTTCCTCTATATATATATGTGTATATATATGATTATATATGTATATATATAGACTTCCTCTGTACCAAAACACCTGCAAATCAAAATGTGGACAAGCACCTCAAGGAGTGAAAACAGTCAAATCTTGGTCCTTTGCTTTTGCCGGCATAATGTCCCAATCAACTTCAGGCACACAGCTATGATTCAACCTCAGCGAAAACGCCAAAATGATGACTTTGAGATGTCACATCAGGACCTAGTTGTAGGGGTCATATCCCAACTTCTGGGGGCTTAGAATCCCATTGTTATACGAGAGTTATACCCATGAAGATCACCTCAACCACACGAACACTGAGGCCGCCCTTCGGCCCTTTGTGTCCAGTGGCATGTCGGCGAAGGGGAGCATGGCCAGGTGCCAGCGCCTGCCATCACCATCCACCGAAGGAATGCCCATTGCCCTGGAATGTGCTAGCCTCAGGTGTCACGTCTTTCGGTATCGTGGCATCTGGGCATCTGAACTATCATGATGTTTCCATATATCGTTCGGATATTTTTCAATTGCCATGTGTTTGAATAGTTTGATATCGCCTGACAATTATGTTTAGAAGTAACGGTATATGGTTCAGTTCATCAAAACGTTATATTATTATTGTCATATTCATAATTGTTGGTTAATAATATGTAAAGAAACTATAAATCCTAGACTGCACATCCTCCCATTGTCAATACCCCCCTTGCAGTCAGCATGGCTCATGCTAAGACCCGTTCGCGAAGGCACGGATGAACTCTTCGCTGCTTGGACAGGCTGCTTTGAGCTCTGCCAAGACGGCACCCTGGCAAAGTTTCAGCCGAGGGGTGTGGACCATCCAGGGATCACTTGAATCGTTACTGGTAACAGGGGGTAGTTCCCCAGATATAAATGAAATAAGTGGCGAATAAGTGGGATAACTCGGGATAACCCCTCAGATAACCCATGAAGCCTGGAAATGGGGACTTACGAACCACCAATTGTGTCTGAAAAATGTTGAGCAGCTGAGCAATGTTGAGCATAGTTTTCCTTATTGAACATGGTCATAAAATAAAGTGTACCTGGAGACCAACCCATTGACTGCCAGCACACCTTCATGTAAGAGACCAGAGAGGCGTGGACCTTCGGAGCGTCCAAATGAGTCAGTGTTTGGGATGCAACATGACAAGAACCCATGTCTCTCTTGGGTGACTTCATCTCTGGCGCATTCTGGAGGTCTGAAATGTGAAGGTTGGGCTAGTAACTAGGCTAGGAGCAGGAGATGAAAAGTGAGGACTAACAGATTCAAACACTTCCCAAGGCCCTAAAGAAGAATCTGTAACAAATACAACTGAGACACAGAAAGACCACAGGGACGCGCCCAGGGTAAAAATTGGCAAAAATTGTTCCAAGCAAATCAACAGGCGCGCAACTTACAGCGCAGAACACAACTCAAATCGCGGCGTAGGAATAAAGTGGAATAAAGACTCCAGAAAGCAGAAATGAATGCACAAATGTGGAATTTAACTGCAGTCTTTGAGGCTACAGCTTTTTCAAGCTGCCTTTGCTTTTCCTGACATCGAAGAACCATTTTTCTTTGAAGGCCATGTTGTTGAAGCTGGGATAAAAACAGCAAACATGCCAAGACTCAAAAAGATCTGTAGGGGTCTTCAGTCAGGTGTTCCATTTTGATTTCCGTTTTCCAATGAGATGTCTGTTGCAAGTTGGAAATGTCCGGCACCAATCAGCACCATTCGATAAACCCTCCAATCAGAGCCCTCTCCTGTATATACCAATGGGGAGAAGCTCCTCCCAGCTTGGACACTTCTTCTGGCCTCACGTGAGACGTGACTGGCACTGGGGGAGATGCTGGTGCAAAATGGAATCGAAAATGCAGCGCAAAACTCAACCTCTGGGAAACTGAACAAAATTTGGATCAAGAAAGAAATACAAGGCGTCTTTGCTGTTTTGAGCAACTGAGTTCCAACGACCATGTCAAAGGAAGTGCTGCCGACCACGGCAAAGCCTGGGTTAACAGGTGTTGCAAAAGTGGGTCTCACATTCCGTTAGCTTCCAGCGTCGACATGGCTCCATTAGTTGGTCTTCTCACCATCACTTTTCTGAATCGGCTGACTGTAGGGTTTGCTAAGAGATGCCAATAGGATATAATAGGATCATGAAGTGATCAGAAGAGGACGATCAGTGTGAAGTTCAGACCTTGGTCTCTACCCGAAGCTATGGCGCTCCATTTCCAGCTGAGCTCCAGTGCTGCAATGTAGTCTGCCCAACGGGATTGTGCCCTGCATGAACCGACAGCTAGGCAAACCACTAGTTTTGAAAAAAGGAAGTTAGAATTCGGACACAGGGAGAAAAAAGGTCTTGTTAGCCTTATTGCTCGTATAGTCGCCTTGGGGAATTGAAGGAGTCTCTCTTTCACGCAGTGGTTCTGATAGTTTTAGCAACATCTAAATCCTGACCAAGCTCAACTTGGAGGGACCTAGCGCTGGTGCGTCGTGTTTCAAACTGTCGAGAGCAGACCGAAAAGAGTCAAACAGCACATGGTCCAAGACCAGTGCGATGTGAGACAGCACCAGGACTGTTGCACGCAGATAGCTGGAGTTGGACGGAGACAGAAGCCACTATGGGCTGTGCAGCAAAGCAAACGCACCAAGGACCGAACTCTGCTTGTCGTTCAAGAAGAAGCAGCAAGGCCAGCATGCAGAGCTCAACCTGAGCGAGCTACTGCACAAGCAGTGCTAATTTGAACATCTCTAGACATAGAAATAACATGTAGCTTGAAGTGATGGCCATCAGAAGTACGAAGTCTTCAGAATAATCTTAATGTGTATTGCAATCGCTGCGTGTGTTGCATAGTGTTACTGTTCTACTTGCCCCTGTCTAAGCAAGACATCCACCACTGGAAAGTGCCAAGTGGCATCGTCCTCGTCCTGGCAGTGTCAGATTGTCCGAATTGATGCAGCTCCCAAAAAGCCTCCCTGGTTGCCCACCATCCAATTGATCAGGGTCTAGCAGAGTCTAGCATCCGAATTGACGGGGGTGCAGAAGCGACACCAGTGAAAGTACATGGGAAGGGCACATTCCAATGGCTCTTGGCCCATTTCAAGGCAGCTCTGCCAACCTGACGAGGGTCCACAGCAATGGCAACAATCTAAGGTGATTTGAACATACTTCTGGAGCAAACCCCAAGTCCCTCGAACTCTCCAATAATTTTTATTTTTTAAATCATCTTCAAGCGGCAAGGGTTTTGCTTCAGGGATCTGCTGGGTTTTTTCTTGGAAATAAACAGCAAACCGCTTTACCCTCTGGTAATTGAACATAGCTATGGAAATTCAGCATTTTGAAATAGTCTTACCATCTAGAATCTAGAAATAATTGTAATGGGCCATTTTCCCTAGCTAAACAGCATTACCGGAGGGTAGTCCATGATGGTCCATGATGGTCCAGCACCTCATGCGACGTCAAACAAGCTGCTGTGAACCAAAGATGCCTACGCGCAGAATTTTTCGGCATCCCAAGGCATCTGAGGAACTTCACTCACCACAGACCGACGGATCGTCTCAAGGCGTCGGCCGTGGAATCTTGAAGACGGTTTCGCCCTTCTCCATGTCTCCAACTGCTACAAGCTTCCTCTCCTTGTCCACCTGACACAAGCTGCAGAAAAAAGACAATACCAAAATGGTTTTGTCTGAAAATGAGGTACCCTAAATCCAATGGTTATTCATCATTATCCCTATTACAACGACCATTTTGGGGATATACCCCCATGTTTTGACAAGCCCAATCTTTACGATATACCCCCATGTTTTGACAAGCCCAATCTTTACTTTGCCATAAATATATACAAATATCCCAATTATATCCCCACTATGGCCGCTATGGTTGATGTTATAGGCCCAATATCCCCATTGTTCACAGCCGGCCTCCTGCAGTGCGACTTTGGCATTGGCTTCACCACCTCTGCGTTGCAGAAGGGTGGGGACCTTAGTGCGGCTTCGTGCGACCGCGTTGCGCACGAGACCGTTGGAGAAGGTGCCCAGACACCCTGAGAAATATTCGAATCCCATCCCACTATCAAACACCTCCATTTGATAGTCAAAAATGTGTGTAAAACCCCTACTAAACCATGGTTTCTTGAGAGTCTTTGATTTTCGGAGGAAGGGACTAATTGTGTATGTCAACCAGTTGTGGGCCTGCAACTGTTCTTCACTTGATATTATGCACCCGCATTTCTGGGAATCCAAAGAAGCGGAGCCAATCAGGGCGGAGCCAATCAGGAGACTCTCACAAGACAAGGCTAGACGACTAGGTGACTAGCTCAGTGCCCAACAGACTTCCACGTCTCTTTCTTGGCGTCCGCTGTCACATCTGTCTTGGAGCCGTCTGTTGCCCCTGCACCGCCCGAACCACCATTGGAGTAGCCTTGGGCACTTTGGCCGCTTTTCTTCTTCGCCATTGCATCGCTCAATGCTTTGCAAACCGTGTTTTCTCATGCACGCAAGTCAGGACAAATCTCAAAAGTCGGCATGTTTTGTGACTGAAACTCTTCTACGGTCCAGCTCTTGTGCTGCACAAGTGAGCATGCACGTGCAGCTTACAATGTGGTGAGTTGAGATACAATGGCTGTTGGCTGAGCAGCGAGATTTTGGATGATTGTAAATTATGTTCACAATAGCCACTTGCAAATTGCAATTTGAGTTCAAAGCATGATCGTCAATGAGCACATTGCAAGTTCCACAGTCCTACTGGGAAGAGGCTCAAGTGGGTTCTATTCACGATTGGTAATGCTATCTCCCTAAATAGAAGTCTTCGGGTGTGCACTGGTCTAGATTTTCCTTTCTTCTGCAGGAGTATCTGGCCAGCAGAGTCTACATACTTTGATGTCAGTTGTTTCTGTTGGGATCAGCAATCAGGAGAACACCTCCACCATCTTGCCCACCATTGCCTCAGCTTCCGAAGCCGCTCAAGGTCAAGTTCCCTAAGAAAAACACTAGGGCCAAGACTTCGATTTGAACATTGGTCATCCCAAAGCTTCTCTTGATCGCCTGAACAAGACACCATGCTACAGCCATGCTACAGCCATGGCAGCCATGGCACTTGCCATAGCAGCCATGGCTATGGGACTCTGCTTGGACTATGCTTGGACTATGCTCCTGGTGACCCCACCTGCAGAAGAAGCACAGTCTCCCGAGCAGTGGGAGCTGAAAGCCAAACTCGACCATTCTGACCCACGCAAAGCTCGTAGGCAAAGTCCTTCAGAAAACATTGGAACAGATTTTGGAACAGGACTTCATTGTGATTCATATGTTTCTGCACAGTTTCATAGCATTTCTCTACCCAGTCCTTTCCGAGCCGATCCAGAATGAAGCAGTCCACATCTGAACCAGGCGCAAACTTGTAGCGGGACTGGAGAAATCTATACACATCCATTACTTTAGGAAATGTGATCACACTCAGCAAGCTCTGATTGGATTCCTCCAACTATGAACCATTTATCCAGCAACTCATGAAAGAGTGAAAATGAATCCCGTGGTCCCAAGGGTACTTCTTTGATATTCTTTTACCATCTTTTAGCTGGTAAATCTCAAGCAAACAGCGATCCCTTCACCTAGGAGCCGCTGCGCTGCGCTGAGGGCCACCTTGCCAGCAGTCGAAAAAGATTGATTCATCGGTCCAGTGATGGCCCGGCCTCGAAGCTCAAGCCACCTTTGAGTTCTCCCAAAAGAACCTACGCAGAAAAATGCAAGTCCAATGTTGATGTGTACACGTCATATCACGTCATTACATGCGAATCATCAGATGTCTATTTATGTGGATCAATATGGGCACAGAGACAGGCTTCAGTCAACTGTTGGATGGCTGCGCGCTTGTGCGGAGAGAAGAAACATGCTTTCGTACTTCTTCCTGGGGGTCCAAAAGTAGTACATAGCGGGACAGATAGTAGATGGACACATGACCCAGGGAAAATGTGTAGACATGCCATTTTCTATACTCTCGGTATACAGATTTGATCAGATTTCAATGCCATGAATATGTGATTCCAAGCCTCTCTGCATACAAACATGGACATGCTCACATCCGTTCACATACCTACATTCTTTCGTACTGCAGGGTCGTGCACAGCTTTGTCCAGTACCACATAAGATCGCATTCCATTCCAGTATCTTGCATAGACAATCCAAAAAGGTGAAGCAGTACATGAATCGATGAAGGCTTTACATATGATGTATCATGTCCTAAATGTACTTTGAATTGTCACAATACACTGCAATCCAAACATTGCACAAACACATTTTTTCGATGGATTCACAGATCCTTTTATATGCAGTTCCATGACTCCTACCTGCTTTCCTGACTATATACTGCATGCACCTACCTTCCTAATTCTTCCTATATACTTGTCTATTTTCATAAGTATACATTCGTGTGAATACAGGGTCTGTATGTTTACTTCTAGATTTGCTTGTCTTTACAGCCCTCACCTTCAAGATCCTTCAAGCCACATCAGCTGCACCAGGTCTCTGCTTTTCCGGTTGCCTCCACACGCCTTCATGGAAGATGCGAATTCTGCAAGGCCGTTGGCCAAGCTTGTTGGGAAGGCTAGTCATCAGGCCGCCATGCTGAAATAAGCTCGGGGACGTTGCCCACATGGGACCCAAATGTCGGTGCTCGTTGAAAAATGCACAGATTGAAAGATCAATAAACGGCCCATCGATGTGATTCCTCAAATGCTGTAAGAAGCCCCCCGCCTCGGCCCGTGCCCTGTGAAACAAATTCGCCTGAGCCATGTGACATGTTCCATGAGGATGCACGACAGCATCCCCCACCATCCAGTCCAGATTGGCTTTGCCCGTGGCCCAAAAACCATAAAGAGCAGCAACAAATCCTGCGCCGCTCCAAAACCACAAAGAAGGCGTCAAAACTCGACATCTGCAAACGAAGGCCAGCAATCCACAAGGTATTGCTCCCATAAAGGAGAGGAGAAGCAACAGAAACGAGTTTCTAAGATGCCAGTTCTGCCGCTGATTGCCCCAAACTGGCTGAAAGAGTTTCAGAATTGTCCAATGTTCTCCTTCGCTTCCATAGGTTCCTTGTTCCAAGTCCTTGATGTTTTGCATGGCTTCCGACAACCAGCCCTGAGACGCCAAAGTGTCATCATCCAATACCAAACAGTACTCTGCCTGCCTCGACACACAACGCTCCATTGCATGCAAATAATGCAAAATGGAGCCTTGCTTCCAGCTATGAATCGATTTCTCAACTGGAGTTTGCCGATTTGTGGGATTGTAGACTGTCACAACCAAGGGCTCCAGCCTATGTGATTCGATACTTTGCAACTCATCTGATGGAAAGTCTGACATGATTTCGATTCGACAAACGGCGAGTAACTCTTCGCGAGAGAAACTTCTCAGCAGCGAACCCATTGTTTGTGAAAGGTATTTTTGCGTGCGGTTCGGGACTGCGTTGATTGCAATGTATATTCTGCACCCTGCACTTGACTCACTTGACTCGTTTCTGGACACGAGGAAGTCTTTTGCCCACTTCAAATCCGTGGCAAAATCGGCCAGTCGTGAGCGCTCTGCAGCAGCATATTCAGAGCAATCTGATGCCCAAAAAGCGCTGAACTTGAGGCTTTGAAGCCAGTTTTGCAAAAACAAAAATCCGAAGATGTAAAGAACTGTCAAAGCCATTAGGCTTCTGCCCGATCTTCGTGAGGTATCACTCTGTTCACCCCACAAATGAACAAAAGCGCATGTTGACAAAGAGAGTATCAACAGCAAAAAGACACCCACAGCTGCCAAGCCTTTGTTGACATCCACTGTATTAGGCAGGAGTGCATCAGATACTGCGTTTGCAATCACGAAGGGAGATTGCTCACTGTGGTTTGCTATTGCATAAAAAACAGAAGCTTGGAAAGTTAACAGCACGAATAGCGCAAGGGCACATAGACAGCGGTTTCGGCACATATACAGCAAGACGTCACTCCAGCCCATCGACATGGCTGTAGAGGATGGGCGTAACAACTACCCACCTGGATGTTTTATTGTGACAACCAAGGCCATGCATCCCATGTTTCTATTGTGAAGGGCGCTGCAACTGCAGCCATGTTAACAATGTTCGTGTCATCCCGCATGCGTATTTTTTCTCACAATACTTGTGCCAAAATGAGCCCATTCCTTCTAGATACTGTCGCAAAAGTCCCCAAAACACACACGAAAAAAAAGCGTTGAAAGGATGCGAATCAACCGCTTGGTTGATGCCCAAAATCCAGAATAGCTCTCGATTCTTGGATATCTCATGATATATCCCCTCTTCAAAATCCGATTTCCCATACGAAATATCATACAACCTAATTGTACCTAAGTTAGAATTTCATATTTGATTCATAACTTACCAGGAATGGTTACTAAATAATCTAAATAGTGACATATCCAATGTATTCCAATGTTGTTCGACGCACACATGGAGCTCCTGGCCGCAAAACAAGAACAGCGGCGCCTCTCCAGTACTCCATGACCTGGGCAGCTGAGTAGCTGAATAATATATATTGATATATATTATATATATAGTTATTATATCAATGTAGCTGATTGGTAGAGTTAATCTATGTTAATCTATTTTAATCTATTAAGTCATGAATATCTTGTGAATTCTTAGTAGTACCTTGAGATCTAAATGATGTAAACAATGTAAATGTAAATGTAAATGCTGTAGATAGATTCGTACTAGTTGTTTGCACATGCAACGCACAAAAAATATATGATTGAATCCCTACAACTGCAAATGATCGAAACTGCGGAGGTGTTTGAACTCAATGGAGATAATCAACATTAATCAACCTATTCCTTTGCAGTTGCGTGATGCGTGGCATTACCGGCATCACCGTTGTATGACTCTTTTCAGGTGACTTAGCCTTCGGGGGCGTGGTATATGTACCATTTCCATGGAGATAACGATGATTTCCCTGTTAATATTTCCCTGTTAATGTTGATGTTCAAAGCAACCCATGTTGTGGCCGTTTTTCTCACTGTCGTCACCCCAAAGATTTCCAGGTGGTATTGCAAAGAAGACCTGCATGCAGGTCTTGCTACGACAATGCTGTGAAGTCCCATAGTAAAAAGAGCGAGGGATGCACATGGCCACTTCGGGTAATAATCTACAATCCTCTTTGCACTACACGACACGCAAAATCTTCAAATGGAAGATGACAACCGCTTCAACTCGGAAGTGTCGTGGAAACGAATCCCTGAGGAAACTTTCTCTATAGTCTTGGAGTTGATTGAGTCCTTCACAAAGTTGCCTCAAGTCATTTCCATCTGGGGTTCCAGCTTCTTGGTGTCGGGGTCAATGCAGGTGAGCTCCGTATCCAAATCAGGATGTGCAGCCTCTATTCGTGCATATACCAAAGTTCCAATCCTTGGCATGCCGCGAATAGAACGAACAGAATGATGATACAACCTAAATTACAAAGAACTTTGGGGAAACTGAAAACTTCTTTGGCTGTGATGCACTTGGCTTGCTCAAGTTGCAGGAACCCAAATCAACTGTGTAATTGACACTGAAACAGCCAAGCATCTCAAGAACAGGCCTGTTTCTCTTGGTGGCACCATTCCACCTGCAAGTAGCGCAACTTAAGTAGATAGCTGACTCCAAGAAACATGGCCAATCTTGGATTCTCTGCCTTTTTTGGGGGGCGGCTGGTTGGTGTGTATCGCAAGATATTCAAGTTATTAAAGAAACTAAAGAATCATAAGTTCATCATCGGTTCATCGTAAGTATCCATCCACAGTTGATCCAAGCCCTGAGATGCGCGCGAGAGAGTTGGAAGAAATGCCGGGGATGGTGCCCGTATCTCTACCTGCCCAACAGGTTCCAGAAGAGATGGAAGCCCAACAACCACTGCTGTTGGGAACTAAACCGTCGGTAGATTGAGAACAGGAGAACACCAGAAATTCTCTCGTTCTACCGCACCTTGTAGAAATCGGCAGTTCGTCCCATGACGATGCCCACGACGCAGTCACCCTGGCACAACACGTCCATTCATGCAAAACAAAGGCTCTGCGTGACAGTGCCAAACCAAAGTACTGTAGAGCACAGGCCTTTCGTGGGACATATCTTTTTCTCAAGTTTTCCACACGAACTTCATCATCTGACCTGCACAGGTTTCAAGATGTAGTCATTTCCAGTCAATGCAGATCGTTGCAGGTGATTGGGGTATCATGCAGTGCCTGAGCACGCCAGCAGTCGTGGCAAAAGCACGGCCGCTGTCTGAATCCAGGGCGACTCCAATGCCTCGTGAAACTGGGGAAGCCATGGATCAACGGCAGGTACCACGACTAAGGACAGAACCTGGCTGAAGTCCATTGAGGGGGATTTCATCCCCGGGCAGACAAAGCCTAGGGGATGACCACATGCGACAAGGAAGGCGCGATCACAGCCTGAGTGCGGTACGACATGGAGTCCCTGTCACTTCAGGCGAATCTGCCATATAAGTCCGTGATCTTTGTTGAATCGCACTGAAAAAAAGGCTTCCGGGTTGGCAAGGTCTGAGGGTTGTCTAGCTGATCCCAAACATCTATAAGAGTGTGCCCCTCTGTCTGTCATTAGTCTGGAATGCGGAGTTGTGCTTACTCTTTAGAATTCCATGAGAAGTTTTTAACCAAGCTGCTTGAGCCGAAAGCTGCCGGAGAAATGAGACACTTTCTGGCAGCCTTAAGGGCTCCACCTTTATTACTATATCATTATATTATCATTATATGATTATCATTATCGTCATATATTATTATCATTTATTATTATCAAACACAGAAAGTTCCAGCAGTCATGCTTCACTCTTTTAGCCCTTGTCAGCTGTAGTCGTTTCTTCGCACGTGAATCTGCGATATCTAATCAATGCGGAGCCGAAGAGGCTTCAAATGCGCTGAAATCTTGCCTTTGATGAGTTTTCGATAGAGCTCGCTTCACATGACATGCGCCTTTGATATATCCAGACTTCTCACTGCTGATGTCACAAAAGAACGCCTCTCACAAAGCCTTTCAGAACGGTACTTGTAGCTGCATGTCACGTGGCAAGATTGGCAAGCATCTGCAACTATTGAATTCGCTCTCCAATGGACGGTTTCGAATTCATCTCCCTTTGGAGAACAAACTGCAACCATACCCAAGGTTGCTGTTTGTAGCACCAAAACCGGAAGATCATCAAAATACTCAGCTGGATCATCCGTGGGCATCCAGTGAATCCAATGCTTTTATCAGCGAATCCATCAGCCAAGGGGAGGAAAGTCCTCAGCAAGTGACTCCAATGAGAGAAGAAACGTAGCTCTCGAGCACATTAATCCACCTAGAGAAACTGAACTGTTCAGCTTGTGTTCGAGATCAGATGAAGCCCTTAAAAATGAACCCCCCAGCTGATCTTGGAAGCCAGTCTTCCAAAGAAATTGGTTTGCCTTTTTTCAAACTTTTTTCAACTTTTTCCGGATCTTAATCTCCGGGGTTCAAGACGTGGAGGAAATTCATGGTCATTCCAGGTCCGAGGTTCGGAGGCATCCATTCTGAATCCTTCCTCTCGCTTCTTCGATCCCAAGACATGGAAGCGGATCTTGTGTGACGCCTTGCCTGACAAATCTGAGAAACTGTGAAACAAACTTGAGCTCCTGGTGCCGCAAAATGTCTCCACAGGACACACGCATTTCACCAAAAGTGACACTGAGACTTTGACCTGCTGACAGTTCGTTGAAGCGTGAGCGCGACCTACTTCATGCCAAATTGTTCACATGTTTTGTGTACCATGGGCATTAGCGAGATTTGTAGTACATTTGTAATACATTTGTAATACATTTGTCAGGTTGCATCAGGCTGCATCAGTTTGCTATCGCTTCTGTAGCTTGGGGAGCTCACTGTCGAGTCTTCTAGTACCATCGCTCTGAGTGTCCAGGCCATCGCAAGCTCACGCCCGGGCATTGCTCGTCTCCCTGAAAGCTTAGCTCCCAAAATGTTCTGTGCTTGTGACAACTGCAGTGCATGACGACATAATGCGAACAAGAAGCCCAAACGGCGACGGAGGTGGTCATTGAGTTCAGGAAAAAGCGGCAGCGCTCTCCCATGAAGATGTCATAACCTGTGTTTTTTGCAATCAAGAATCACAGCCTTCTAGCAAGGATTAGCAAGGTACTTACACTAGACATCATTACACTCAAGTGACTTACCGTAAGTATTACCAAGGTCATGACCTTGGTGATAAATGGCGCGCGGCATGTGCGCGCTTCCGGCCTTTCTGGCCTCTCCAGCCTCGTAAGCGGATTGGTGATTCTGCAGGCTGTTTCATACTTTTGTCACAGCCAAGGCGCATCTTTGCTCATATCATCGATGCACCTTATTGTGAGGCTCAAAGTGATTTTGTGGTATTGGAATGTATTGGATTACTAGAATCATCCATCTAAGGAGCACGCCATGATGTGCATTTCAAGCAACCACCATCGTCCACGCGCACCTGGAAAAGAAAGCGACCACTGAAACACCTTTATGGGACCAGTATCTTCAAAGCATGAACCAGTGCCTCATAGCAACGCTCATTGCAGTACCACCTTTCGGATTCTGTTGTCTCTGTGCCATGCTCCAGCCAAATGATCATAAAACTCAACGAAAAAGCAAAAAAAAACAATGCGCAGGCCTTCCCAGCAAATGCTCCATCTTTGTGCGCAAATACACCGTCGGTGCCTCTTCTCAAGGTCAAAACGATGTTGCATTTGATTAGACTACCATACGCCTGTGCAGTTTGATCAGTTTGTCGCACGTTCAATCACCTCCTTCTAGCCTTCTAGTCTTCATAAAACAGAGTCAAGATACCCATGGAGCGCATTGCCGGCCGCGCAAATTTTGGCTCTGCCAGTGGGTTTTGTTGCCTCAGCTTTTCTGCATCAGCAAAATGGCCGAGACCAAAGCGACAATCATGGGATGTAGAATGTAGAGCCCATAAGGACGCTGCGATCTTGGCCAACACCAGCACCTTCAAAATGATGCAGAAGCACACTCACAATATGGCCCAAAAAACCAAGTTTTCTTGGAACCTTGTTGATCCCCAAAGTCGTCTCCTGAGCGAGGTCCGCAGTCGGAGCCGTTCCTAAGCGTGAAGCAATGGAAATCATCCCAAAGCAAGTCCAAAAAATATCTCCAAATGCATCAGGCACTGGTTCCAACCAGGGGAACTACAGTAAACAAGCGGAGAAATTCAGATCGGGAATGATGGAATCTATGTCTGCCACGCACATTGGGGACTGTCATTTTAGTACCTTCCAAATTATGAGGACCATTTTTTTTTCATGGGAGACAGTGGACTGGTTTCTCCAAAAATAAAGTTTGTGCTATGTACCCGGCACAATAATGGCAGTTTTTTTTTTAATCGAGGTTTCCACGTGGGAACCTTCGGCCTCCCACACCATTATATAGTCTGAAGACCCCAGTTTTTGCAATTGGGAGGAGAAAAGACCGCGGTGCAGAAATTCACAACGAAAATTGCACAGCCAAGAGCCATGAAAAACTTTATACTACACTTTTGGTGGATAGCAAAGAACCAGTGAAAGGCCAAGTGCAATCATAGCTCGAGGATGCCGGTGATGCAGTTCGGCTCAAGTCAGATGTCTCACCTTGGACAAGTCCGGCTAAGAGGTACGCTCCATCTGAAGGCTGATTACTTCCTGTCTGAAACCGAATTTAACTACATTTATGTATGTATATATATATATACACTAATAATATATATATATATATATACATATATATATATTCATTTACTTATTTACTTATTAATTTATTTATTATTATTAAATACTATTATCATTATTATCATATATATATACTATTATATGTATATCATACATAGATATATATATATTATTCTGTGCATATATATATTATTATTATTATTATTATTACTATTATTATTTTTTTATTTTATTTTTATTATTATTTTATATATACTATTATTATATATATATACTATTATTATATATATATATATTATTATTATTATTGTTATTATAATTATATATATATGGGTTCGGGGGAATAACCGTGCCCCCTGTAAATGGTTCAGAAGCAGTTGCCTTTGTGTCCATGCCTTTGAAGTCCATTCGTGTAGTAGCAGACCTGGCTTTTTTGCATAATGAGCAGATAATGCACTGCCAAATGTTTTGACGTCAGCCTTGACATTGATGTGCTCTGTGATACTGCATGATGCTCTGATTGCACTAGAAGACAAGAAGACAAATCAACAGACGATATCGCACCATTTGTGTTTTCCCCAGACGCGTCGTTTTCAGACATCCAGCTAACAAGGTGACTTAATTTGCAAGGCCTTCAAGACATCGAAGAAGCTATTCCCTACATTCGTTTTGAATGTATACTCATAGAGATCTCCGGCATCCACGGCATCCGTTTCCTCTGCGTCGTCAGCCCCTTGGCATTGGAAGGATAGGCGGCCATAACGCTCTCTCACATACCTTTTCAATCGGGAGAATTCACTTTCAATGTCATTGGAGTGAAAGCCCGTTGCACGGTCTCGCCATCCCTGGCTATGGTTCACAGGCGGCGCGGATTTGAACCCAATGTCAGCCAGAGCCGGTGAAGAGGCCTTCCACTTGTCATGCACCACAAATGCTTTTGGGCTAATGCACTTCAAGATGGCCTTTTTCATGCTCTTGATGCCCCTGGGCTTGCCGTCTGGTGCTGTCTTTGGAAGGTCCATAATATGGAAGCTGAACCTTTTGCAACCATTGTCATGAGTGTATCGGGTTGCCTTGTTTCCAACAAGAACAGCAGCAAAGAGCCAACGCCCAGTCCGTTGGTCTTTGGACGTCCCAGCAATGCCTTTGTTGTAGATTGACTTCATCACAGCAGCAGGCCGCTTGCGAGCAGAGGTTGATGAAGAGGCAGCAGGGCGACGAAGACAACTTGCTGGCCGATAGAAAGTTCGAGCAGGCAAACGCTTCACAATACGATCCCTCTGGATCTTGTTGGATTTGTGATGGGTCTTCTTGGTGGTAGCGGCCTTTGATATCCCACGAGGCTGTCCCATGTTCGTCTCATCAAAGACAACGACATCACCAGCTTTAGAGCCTAGCACAAGCTCGCCATACTTCTTGAGGTAAAGTTCGAGAGCATCTTGGTACAATCCCCTCCACCGCCGCAATGTTTTGGTATCATGGGCACCAAAGATCTCTTCAATGTCCGTAGTCAGCTTCGTCCAACGGATATTGAGTCTCAGGCCATTGACAAAGTACAAGAAAGCCAGCCAAGAATTGAGCCTCACATTTGAAAGCAAACCCACTGGACAAAGACTAGCTCGAAAGCATTTGTGGCCTCTCACGGAGCATGTCCATTGGAAACGATCCCCAGTCTCTTCCAACTTGACTTTGTGACGAGAATTTGCAGGGCACTTGGAAACCGTTGGAAAGAGCTTCAGTGCTTGGCAAAGAAGCAGCCCTCGCAGACAAAGAGTGTCTTTCAAATGCATGGGCACC